GAAAAAATACAGAGTCCAAATAATAAAATTCTGGAAAATTTAACCAAAGAAACAGATTTAAATGAAGATTGCATGCATGAGCTGGATTTGTGGACCATAATTTGCAGAAATGTTCCAACTAACCACATCTTATATATATATATATATATGTATAATATAGATACACACATTTGGTAGAGATCCAATCTCAATATCTCTCACTCTCTCTCTCTCTCTCTCTATATATATATATATTATGTACTCTTTCCGTCCCAATACAATAGTCTTATTTACCATTTTTGTCCATCTTAAAACAATGTCTTATTTTCATAAATAATTATATCACCATAAAATTATTCCTACTTTTTTATTATTATTACACAATTGTCACTACTTTTTACACTAATATATTCACAAGGACAGAAAAGTTATGTATCTATACTTTTTACCGACCACTAATATAATATTAATATTTTTTTAATCTCGTATCCAATACAATAAAATTATACTTTTTGGACGGAGGGAGTATGTATATATATATATATATATATATGATGTCCTACAAATTAAAGAAGTTTGTTGTGTGAGCACATGAAGTTGTATTAGTAAATTAATGGAGCCACAAACACAAATATTTTTGCAGTTTCCAATTAGGAGAAAACAAAGAAGGGGCTTTGCATTAATAACATGTTTCTCTTTGAGCTGATTTTCCTAAACAGTATAGATAAAATATATATATATATATACCATGTATATATTTTACACAATATATGTTAGTATGAAATAAAGATATATATATATATTATAGTTCATCCGTCCCTTAACAATCTATTCATTTTCTCATTTTGGTCCGTCCCATAACAAAATATCCATTTTTTTTTTTAGTAATTGTACTATTTATCTAAATATCTTTCTAATTTACAATATATTACACAAATGTCATTACCTTTATATCATACAATACCAATAGGGTTAATTTAGTCATTTTACCTTTATTTCTACTTTATTTTAATATAATACTAATATTTCTAAAACTCCGTGCAAAAAGCAAATGGATATATAGATATGAGACGGAGGGAGTATATTTTTATATTTATAACTTGTACTGGATAGAAGTATATTATGCGCTAAAACTGCATATGTTGTATAAAATTATATCATATATTATTAATTAATTTAATATATTTATATTATATATTTATACTAATACACATGTAATGCCAACGTAATGCTGAATTTTAAAATTTAGCACGGTTCATTTACAAGATATATGCATATTTGGCAATGATCATAAGCTGAAAATACTTTTAAGAACCATGTTAATCCAATCAAAGGCACTGAGTTTGTTGGTTTGAATTTGTATAACAACACTAATTTTTTACTGAAAATAATTTATGTGCAAAATATAAAATATGATATCTAACTTCTAATATATATTCCATTCGTCTCAATTCAAAGTATATTTTTTTACTATTTTCGTCTATTTCATTTCAAAATATCTATGTAATCTTTTGCTAATACCAAAATATCCTTAATTTATACTTAAATTACAAATATACTATTACACATATAATTACTTTGTACAAAAAATCAAAGGACAAAAATATCAAAATCACTTGCACACTTCCACTAAACAATCAAATATTATTATTTTTTTAATTTATTACAAAACTCCAAAGAGCCCATTTCAAAAGAGACGATGGAGTACTCCTTCTATCCGAGCTATTTACGCCGGTAGTGTACGAACACGAAAACTAAAAAATAATAATATAAAATCATAATATTTTAATGTAATGAATTAGGTAAAAAGAAAAAGATGAGTATTATAGAATTTATTAAATAGTTGAAAATAAAATAGTAAAATAAGCAGTGAAATTATTTATTATAAATTTAGCGGATAATAATAATAAAAAATATTATAATTATTCCGGCAAGAGGAAATATTATATTAGAAGACTAACAAGAATGGGGCGTGTTTGTTTTCTTTTTGGTTTTTTTTTTTTATTTTATTTAAATAAAAAAATTTCACTATTTAATATGTACGATTTTCAATAAAAATATTTTTTTTTTGTCTCGGTGTAAGATATAAAATTGTTTTTGGTGCGAATTTTTTTTTAAAAAAATATTATAATTGTAATGGACAGTTAAAAATAATGTAAAAATTATTCTACTTTTATTTTTTAATGTAAAAATAATGATTTGACGGTAAAATAAAAGTATTAGTAAAAAAAAAAAAAGATCTAATAGCTACTAAAAAATTGAAATATATATATTAAAACAAGACGAACAAAAATATAAAGATTGATACGTTAATGCGGGACGAAAAAATTATTATTCATTATTATAAAATATTACATAAAAAATATTATTTTAAATAAAAATTTAAATCAATAAAATATTTCAAATCAATTTGAAACTAAATAAAACCAATATTTTACATATAACATTGGTATGTCCCTTTCTCATTTATTGATAGCTTATAATACCATGAACGAACCTCATTTAAGACTTTGGATGTCATATGATATACTCCCTGCGTCTCAGATACCGTGTCTGCTACACTGTAGACACGGTATTTTAGGAGGGGTATAATTAATAGAGAATTAAGAATGTATTAGTGAAAATAATTATTCTATAATATAAATAATTATAAATTAAGATTAAGATAACTAATTATTTTCCAAAAAAAAAAGTGACATGGTATGTGGGACGGACAAAAACGGCAACGTAGACATAGTATATGAGAGGGAGGGAGTTGATTTATAATTTATAATTTATAATTTTTATTTTATTTATTTATTTATATTTATATGATTTATGAATTGTGCTCACTACTTATAAGGGTCTATTATTTTGGAGTTGGAATTTATATCAAATTTCATTTTTGCTTTGAGAAATGATTTTGTATGTAATTTTTTTTATTAAAAATAATATATATATTTTTATAAAAAAAAGTATAATATTATTTTATAATAAAAAATTATTAAAATTAAATTAAAGAAAAATAATAATAGAGCCTTAATTTACAGAATAATCAGTTTGGCCCATACTTAAATCTACTTGTGGGTGGATGAATTGATAAATGTCCTTATTAATGAATTTGGTGCACACATGGTACAAAAATAAAAATAATATTGGATAATACTCCATTCGACCCAAAATTATAGTTTGGGTTGTGTTTGACACCAGATTTAAGAATATTAATATTATATTGATAGTGGGTAAAAAGTACGGATAAAAGATTTTTTTGCCCTTTTGAATGTATTAGTGTAAAAAGTAATGACAATTGTGTAATAATAATGAAAAAGTAAGGGTAATTATATAGTGATATGATTATTTATAAAAATGAGACTATTGTTTTGAGACGGACAAAAATAGTAAACAAAACTATTGTATTAGAACGGATGGAGTACTACTTTTTCTTTTTTCTTTTTTCTTTTTAAAAAAATAATTCTATTTTGAAAATTCGATACGATATACATATATACTAATACCATGACTATAATTCAGTATACCAAATCGTTCGTACAATATCCACATATATTATTTCATACCGAAATTAAATATAATTTTATAATTTAAAAAATAAAAACTTAAAAATAATTTTTATATCAAATATATCAAATTATGTATACATATAAAATACCAAAATATTAAAACAATATGCAATATATATTTGTGTGAACCCGCAGCCGCTATCATTCAGGCCGAACCTAATAAAACAAGTCACATTATGCTAACAATGTGTGACAACAAAATCTGAAGACGTCGAAATTTGAACTCATGATCGCACGATCACCTCTCTATTTTTTACGGGACAATATCTTTTATATATATAGCAAATAATCCCTCCATCCCATTTGTATCTTTTTGGGATTATGTAGTAAATTTAAAAATAACAATAATTTATAAATTAGTAAAAGTGTATAAGAAACCTTTGACTTTTACTTCGGTATAAATTAATTGTTCGTGTGATAATATATTTGTAATTTAAATAAAAGTAAAAAATATTTATTTACTTTTTACTTTAAATAAAAAGAGAATTGAATGAAACATGCCAAAATGATACTCCCTCAGTCCGCGCAAGTCACGTTTATCTTTTGCGTAATTGTACATAACATTAAAAATATTTTTATATTTGTATAATTTTTTTATAAATATCCTTTTATTAGTATTATAAGACAATAATAAAAAATATTTTTGTAATTTTTTCTTAATTTGTACTAAGTTTTTATATAATAATTAATATTTAAAGATAAACACGTAAAAAAAATAAATAAGACTCTCAAAGCGGAACGGAACAGAGATAGTACAAAATTCTTCCCCTACCATTAAAATTAGCCTATTTGAGCCGGCACATGAATTAAAAAAATAAATATTTTATTGAAAAAATAAGATACTTTTGAAAATTAATTAAAAAGTAAAGTCAATAAAGAGAAAATATATAATAAAATTAGTGGTATTTGCTGTAAATAAGTGTTGAATTGAGGGTAATAATTAAATATTAATTTGATAATTTTGCTAAAATTAATACTCCCTCTGTCCCGGAACTAAATATCTATTTGTTTTTTTGCAAGTAATTTTAGAAATATTAGTATTATATTGGGATGTAGTAAGAATAAAGTAGAAATGACTAAAATAACTTTATTTGCATTGTGTTATATAAAGATAATGACATTTGTGTAATATATTGTAAATTGTAAGGATATTTGTAATGTTACGTAAATAATACAGTTACTAAAAAGGAAAATAGATATGGGACGGACTAAAATAAAAAAAATTGAATACTTTGTTTTTATTATGAGTGGGAGAGTAACGAAATAAATTTAGTGGAATGGCTAAAGAAAATAATAAAAATAAATTTGGTAGCAGCGACACATAAGAATATAAAACTATATCGTTACTGTATCTTCGGTTCAAGAATCTCTCACCTAACCGATTCACTGATACGTTGATCTGACCGGCCCTTAAATATATATACATACATGTATACATATATATACATGCTCTCTCTCTCTCTCCTCAGTCTCTCTCTCTCTCTTATCTCTACTGGCTTACATACAGCAGTCACACAGTCCCTCCTTGCCTGCAGCATTGCCATGTCAGAGTAGTTTTATCATCCCCTCCATCTTCCATCCACCACTGAGTTCTACTGCTTTCTCTCTCTATCTCTATCTCTTTCTCTCTCTTCATTACTAGGTGGACTACTACTACTACTGCTGCACAGTCCTACCATGGCGTACTAGTACAACTTCTACACTGATTACCTCTTCAAATCCAGAATATGTACATAGTAGCAATACATCAATGGCCTTGAGAATTTCTCCGTGCTTCTTCCTCCTCCTTCATTCATGGCTTCTTCTCATCAGTTTCCCCACGGTTTCCTCTTCCCCTCCCTCCCAAATTGCTCTCAAACTCCTCACTGCCCCTCCCCCTTTCTCCAATAAAAATTCCGCCATTTTTGCCTTCCAAGCTTTCCTCAATCGCACGCTCTGCAATCATTGCTCCGCCATTTGCAAGGTAATCTCTCTCTCTCTCTCTCTTAATTTTCTCCATTTTAGCAAAATTTTTGTATGTATTTCATTTGCTTGGATGTATTTTGTCATCTCCATAGAATTTCTCAGTTTGTAATTTTGATTTGTGCTTTTTAGGTTAACTGGTAAATTACATACATACATATATGTATATATATTTAGGCATATTTGTTGCTATCTTGTTCATATTTGGGATTATGCTTAGAGTTAATGTTGGATTATATGGTTTTATTGGTAGGATTTCAACAATGTAGTGTCAATCCCTATGTTTGTGATGAAATAAGATCGATGAACACTCTTTATAGATATATATATATATATGTGTGTGTGTGTATCCTCTGTAAGAACTTTGAGCTCAATCCTGTTTGACACACTGCCTGAAAACTTCATCCAAATGCAGCTAGATGGCGCAGAATTCTCGGCTTGCGAAGGCGGGAACGTCTCCTACACGGGACTTGCCGACGGGAATCATTCATTCGAGGCGTGCGCCAATGGAACTATACGCATCGGCTGCGCAAATTATAGTTGGATTGTTGGTTTGATCATTCACCTTTTGCTTATGTGTTCGTTTTCGAATGAATTTTCTGTTAGGAGTAGTCGAATTCGAGTAATTTGTGCTTAATATGTATTGAAAAAGGACTTTAGGATTAGGATATCCGTTTTTTTTATGTACATTGTTGTTCGAATAATGCGCATAGGAAGAACATCGAAAGTAGATGAATTGTGTTATCTTTTGATTATGTGCTTCGTTGTCGAATGAATTATTGCATAGGCCTAGTTGAGCTCGACAAATTCGTGCTTAATTTGCATCGCAAAAGGACTTTAGGATTAAGACATCCCTTTTTTTTTTATGGTAAATTGTCGTTCGACTAAGGCGCATATGAGGATCATTGAAAGTAGATGAATTGTGTTATCTTGTCTGAAAATTGCTGTTTTCGACTTTTCTTGATCTTTTCTTATCCGTCTTTTGTAGATACGGTTAGTCCCACAGCATATATTACGGCGGATGCGCTCTTCACGAGCGCTCCCATTGTTTCGATCAATATTTCTTTCAGCGAACCCTGTGGCTCTCGAGGCGGATTTCGATGTTCTTCCGTAGATTCTTGCAACGTGAGTACGTCAGTGTGTTTCTTTTGTCTGGATTGAGCTCGAAGATTTTAGCTTTTGATTTAAATAGTGTTTGATGTAATGATTTGTGAGAAGACTACGACTCATTTCGAATTGTCGATCGATGAATATGTTCTTATTACCAGCTACTCGTTTATGGCTCCGGCGAGGTCCTGCCGGAGACACTCAATGTCTTAGAGCCGAACATGAAGTACTCGATCGCTGTCCGTGTGTCTGAAAAAGTTCGATACGGTCGACTGATCCTTGTAATGGATCGAAACTTCTGCGCCGACTATGCAGGAAATGAATTCGTCCGGACAGAGAATTCGAGCCTGTTTGTACATTTTGGTGAGTTCACTCCCCGATATTCTTACAATCGATTAACATTAAACGTGACATTTCGATCATTTCGCGATGCAGATAGACGAAGCGTATTCGCGAATTTGAGGACTCACATACCCGAGAGGCTGCTTCAGATAAACAACGAAACACGAACAGTATTAGCGACGAACAAAAACAAGAACTTGAAGGTGTACCTATATTTCTCCGGTCCTGTAATGAACTCGTCGGCGGATATTCTGAGCTCTCTCGACACAAATCAAGGATCATTCGTCTCGATCGGAGGGAGTACATTCGGACAGCGTAGATTCGGCTATCAGGTCCTTTTCTTGCAAAACGAGTTGATCGAGTTACATTGTCTGAATTCTTCCTTACCTCTGTTTTTTTTCGATGATCTAACAGCTCACCAATGTATCAGACTTAGCAGTCGTCACTTTAAGCGTGCAGTCGAACTTGGTAATAACTCGACAAGGAAGTCCCGTTTCTCCAGTAGCTCCCGTGACATTTCTGTACGGTATGCAGACGACTATTCGACCTTCTAATTTACAGATCAGTCGTTTTCCTTACGGGGATTCGATTTTCTTGTAGATTCTCAGCGACCTACGGTGAAGCTGAGCACAACGTGTAATAATAGGACGAAGGAAAAGAACATTGTTGTACTGATCAAGTTCATAAAGCCCGTGCTCGGTTTTAACTCATCTCATTTGTCGATTTCCGGGGGGCATTTGCAGAGGTAGTCCAAATTTTGTTCGATTCAGACAAGTTTTCTCGTATGTCGACTGATGTTTATGCTTTACGATTTGCTGTAGCTTCGAGAAGGTAAGCTGGAGCAACTACGTCGCGCACGTACAAGCAGTTTCGGGCACAATATCTGTTAGTGTTCCCGAAAACATTACAACTGATGTCTCCGGGAATGGAAACCGAGCGTCGAATACTCTCCAAGTGATGCACTGTAAGGATTCTTTCTATCTGTCTTGTCCAATTCTCGCCTTGTCTGGATATTTGATTTAGTTCTCGTTACTCTATCGCAGATTCGGTACCTTTAGAATCCTTTGTTATTTCATCCCTTGCAACGGCTGCTTTTGCGGTGACAGCTTTGATCTCGGGATTTCTTACAATCTCGACTGCTAGCCTTCTTTCAGTCGGAGCATTCTCCCGACCAAATGCTGTCCTGATCACCTACCCTGCTAGAAATCTTTTCGTAATTCTCATTTCTTCTATCGAATTGAAAGCTACATTTTCTTTGCTCGATTCGATCGTATGGTAATGCTCTTTCCTTACATTCAGAGAATCGCTTCGCACATTCAAGTCTTCGCATTGTCGAAATGGTTGGCGGTCACGTTACCTGTCGAGTTCTACGAGCTTGCAAGAGGCTTACAATGGAGCATTCCCTATTTCAATCTTCCATGGGAGAAAGAAGACATTCCTTCGCTCATGGTGGGCTCGATGTCTCCGAAGGATCGACTCAACCGTGCCATGGAGGTTCATGATTCGATAATATTCGAGGACCTTCAACCTTCCGGAAGCTCGGGGTCGCCCGGGAAGGTTTACGGGTTGCCTCTCACTCCAATGGAGTATACATCGTATTTTGAGGTTAGGCGATTTAATCTCTATTTCTTGAGATCTTTTATTAAATTTAATGTTTGATGTGATATCTTGCGAGAGAAAACGTAGAGTTCAAATAGTAAAGAATTGAATAGAACCTCAAAAGAAGCGACTAAACTCACTAGAGCTTCGTTATTAACTTTTATATTCTGATCGTTGTCATTTCCGGAGCAGAGCTTGACAATGTTGCCAGAAGCCGAGCACATCTTAGATCCTCAATCGTCGCACGGGTACAATTTGTCTTTGTTACGATTTTTTTTTTTTTTTTTGATGAGTCGAGGCGACTTAACTTTGTTTCTTCTAGGTGGCGAGACTTTAGTCGAAGCATGTTTTGGCTAGCCGTGATCGCCGGGAGTTTGGTACTATTCCACGCTTTACTCCTCGCCGTTTTGAAACTTAAAAACAAGAGCAAAGAAAAACAAAGTTACGGTGCGCTAATTTTTCCACGGTTCGAGATTCTTCTTCTCTTGCTTTCGCTACCTTGCCTATGCGAAGCATCGGCATCGGTAATTCAAGGTACCTAGAATAATCGTTTTCAACTTTTTCGAAGTTAAAAGCCCTATGTATTGATGAAAAAAACGTATTTTTGTCGCAAGGAGGGACAACGTCCGGATTGATAGTCGGAGTTCTCATCGTTAGCTTAGTAGCTTTCATGGTGCTATGTCTTCTATCGTTTCTATCCTACGGTATCACTCTCGGGAAGTTGCTTCAATACAAGGAAGTTCACCGTATGGGCGAGGAGTTCTATTGGTACGACGAGCTAATTCGAGTGACTCTAGGCCCGGGAAAACGCGGCCAATGGACGTGGAAGAGCGATCAGCGCTCGATTTATCTTACGGCGTTAGGACCATTGTTCGAGGATCTACGAGGGCCACCTAAGTACATGGTTTCTCAAATTTCCGGAGGGAGCGCGAGCAAGCCTCGGGATCGTATAATTGCCTCAGACGACGAGACCGAGGATGCAGAAGCGCCGTGCATACAAAAGCTATTCGGCATTTTGAGGATATACTACACGTTGATCGAATGGATCAAGCGCATCGCCTTAGGGATTGTGGCGGGAGCGTACTCGAAAACGTGGTCTTTGAAAACGCCTACGCTCGTCTTGCTCGTCATCTCGTTGTTTCAACTCTTCTTCATGCTTTTGAAGAAGCCGTTCATCAAGAAAAAGGTACTTCGACTTGATCTTTTACCGTATTAGTGAGATTCGATTCAAAAATTTATATCAAATTGAACTGAATCAGTTAAATGACCATTTCACCTAAAAAATATCGGATCAAGAGGCCAGTGTTAGAGTAAATCCATAAAACTTTTAGGTGAAAGGATCGTTTATCGGAATTACGATACTTAACCTTTATATCGGTAATAGGTACAATTCGTCGAACTACTCTCGGTGTCCTCTGAGCTCGCGATTTTCGCCTTTTGTTACGTTCTCTTAGAGCGCGAGTTCGAACCCAAAGACGAGAGAAAACTCGGGATCACGATGCTTTCAATATTCATACTCGCCTTCGTCGTCCAAATCGTCAACGAGTGGTACGCATTGTATCGCTATATAAAGCAGCTCGACCCCGCGGCAAACTCGTTGATGCGCGGCCTCGAAATAGCCTCGATTGGGTTCGCCTTGCTCGTATGCCCTCGTTGCATGGCCGAGAAGTTCGAGAACCGGTATCCCATAAACAACACGGGTGAAACGGACACGACGTCGGCAATTCGGAGCTCGGGAAGCCGGAGCTCCGGCGACAAGCCGTGGCTGAAGCAGATACGGGAAATGGCGAGGTCGAGCTTCAGTCGGGATGGGAGAGGATCGGCGCAAAGCGACGCGTCGACGAATAGGCTGAGATGGAGCGAGTTTTGGCGGGGGAAGAGGAGCGGCAGCAGCTCGTCGGCGGCGACGTCGTCGACGGCGGCGGCGGCGAAGCCGAGGGGATTGTACAAGGAGCTGGAGGACATTTTTGCGTCCAAGTGAAAAGATAAGTTTGTATGAAAATAGTTTGTTGTGTTAAAGTTTCTTGACATATTTTGGAACACTTCCTCATGGTTATATATATAGTTGTGTGTTTGTATTTTGAGCAAAAAATCATTTTTGTCCCATTCAATATCATAATTATCAATTTTAGTTTTATTAAAAAAAATTATCAATTTTGGTCTCACTCAAATAAAAATTTATCAATTTTAGTCCCAAAATGGTTGACTGGGACTAAACACGGCCGTGTTGGATAACTCAGAAGGTGACTGGGCATCCCAGACAGCCAACACGGCCGTGTTGATTACCCGTGTTCTTGTCCGTATTCTGAACACAACCATGTTTATGCTCATGTTCTCAACACAGCCATGTTCCTCTGCCAATGTTTTCAAGACAGCCATGTTCACGACCATGGTTTTTAATATAATCATATTGTAGGTCATATTTATTATTATTTTCACTTTTTGGTTAAAATTATTTGATATATATATTTATAATTCAACAAAAATATTTTTTACAATTATTTTATAATATAAAAAATAATCAATTTTTAATATTTTAAAAATATATAAAAATAATAATATATTAATATATATTTTTAATAATACTCCCCCGTCCCACTTACATGTCCATATTGCCTTCTGTCTGTCCTACATTTCAAGTCACTTTTTTTTTGAAAAATAATTACACACTATTTTTTAATTTTAATTAAAGTAATGAGTTGTCTTAATTTTAATTTATAATTATTTATATTATATAATAATTATTTTCACTAATACATTTTTAATTATCTACTAATTATACTTATCCTAAATTCTCGCGTCTACAGTGACCCAGACATCCAGCGTGGGACGGAGGAGTATTATTTTAAAATATTATTTTGAATAATAAATTTAATTTATAATTTATTGAAATAATTAATTTAAAATAATATTTAAAAAATTTTACTATAAATTTTTTAAAATATATATAATGATGATTATTAAAAATATATATTAATATATTATTATTTTTATATATTTTTAAAATATTAAAAATTAATTATTTTTTATATTATGAAATAATTGTAAAAAATATTTTTGTTGAATTATAAATATATATATCAAATAATTTTTATCAAAAAGTGAAAATAATAATAAATATGACCTACAATATGATTATATTGAAAACATGGTCGTGAACATAGCCTAAAACACGGGCAGGAACACGGCCGTGTTCAGAAGTGCAGGGTAATCAACACGGCCATATTGAGACTAACACGGCCGTGCTGGCTGCCTGGGATGCCCAGTCACCTTCTGAGTCATCAAATACGACCGTGTTCAGTCATAGTCAACCATCTTGAGACTAAAATTGATAAATTTTTATTTGCATGTGACCAAAATTGATAATTTCTTTTGAATGAGAACAAAAATAATTTTTACTCTTGTATTTTGTATATCTTTTGTTGTTTTGATATGCTTTGCTTGTGTTTTGTTGGGGTAAATAGAGTTGAATTTAGTTTAGATTAGACTCTTTGTATGTTTATTTAATCAAATTTATTCGAATTTCACTATTTGAATTATGCGTTTTTTGAAAAAAAATATATATATATTTTTACAAAATATTTTATTAAACATTATTTTAATATCAAACTCAAACCAATTTTTCTCAAACTCAATAAAAAGAAACACATCCTATGTTCTATGTCCGACGTAGAAAAGATAACAGTTAAAATACTAACAACAGTTAGAGTGCTGATCGAATTAAATTAGCACTATAGTAATTTGACTCAGTTATATACATATATATATGATAGATAATGCATAGTTTTATATAGTATAAAATAACATAGAAGTATGTGCTGTGCAATTTATTTATTGATGTATAAATAACTTATTATACTAAAAATTAATAATATATTATGTTACATAAAATTATATAATTGATTATCAAATATGTATATAAAATATTTATTTTATATTATATAGCCAACAACATCGCTTGATTCTAGAGGGAAAAACATCAAAAGGGACTAAGGGCCTTAAAAAATTGAAATTTGGTTCCAACCGTTATTTACATTGAACTGGGATGCCATGGGACTAACAAAATTCAGCAATCCTGAGATTAATCTCAGTCATTAATAAATTAATATCTGGAGATATAATTGAAAGGTAAATATAATATTTTATAATAAATTATATATTCTCTTTGTTTTTTAACAATTTTTTTTTTTTTTGTCTGTCTACTAGGGCAGGCTAAAATTAACTCGATTCGAACCTGACCTGAAATAGTTGGGTTTGGGTTGAGATTTTCGATCCAATTAATAATTTGGTCAAATCCGTTTAACCAATTTAATTAAATAAGTCAGGTTAAGGTCTATATTTTCGACTTGAAAATAAGTTGTCTAATCTGTTTAATTAATATTATTTTAAATTCAAATATATTTTTTAAATTTTATCAATACAATTCAATATTTATGGCCAATTTTATAAAAATAAACAATAAAAAATAAAGGATAATAATATGTACTATTATGTAGTGTTTGTTAATTCAATTCTTAATATCGGTTTTATGATATGAATAAATAAATTTTTTGCTTTAATATGTATATATATATTATGCATTAAAATTTTTTGTTAGTATAAATTGTAATTTTAAATTAAAATTTAAAAATTTTAGATTTAAATGGGTTATATGAGTCATATTCAGGTTGACCCGATTAATAAAAGGTCAAGTTGAGGTTGCAAATATCAACCTATTTAATTAAATGGGTTAGGTTCAAGTCAAGGGTTTTGTAACCCGTTTAAGCTGACCCGAACCCGAACCCGACCCGACCTGATTCGTTTGCCAGCCATACTGTCTAGTAACAACAAAGTATTCAATTCTTCTTTTTAGTAACTGTATTTTCTATTAATATTAAAAATACCTTTACAACTTACAATATATTACGCAAATATCATTATCCGATTGCATCCTACGGAAAAGCTGCACTTATTTCACTTTTTATATAGTTTTTATTTATGCCATCATTTTTTACATTACAAATTATATTTCAATTTCATGTTATAATCTCTACACGTATTTCAATGGAGTTTTGCTTTCTTGACTTATTTTTCATATCTTTGTATTCCTTGTAGTATTTAAATCTTCACTTAATTCTACTGCATAATTTAAGTTTCATGGATCAATAGTCTCATGTCTAAACTAATCCGATTTAACTACACAATTTGTTAGAATATAAAATTAAAATTCTTTATTTCAATTATAAGAACACATACATATTTATAATGATATACAAATCGTCTAAATAAGATAAGAATCTTATGAATCTTTTAAATAAGATAACTACCATAAATATAATATATTGCTTCTAAATATATTTTAGCACTCATCTTCAAACTCAAGATATGATCGAACAAATTTGAGTTTGCCATAAGTGACTGAAAAAGATATAGCCGAGATCTTCCACGAACAAACTTGAAGTTGCCATTGACGAAAAGTGGTGTAGTCGTCCACTGGATAAGACTCAAAATCAGAACTGAACACCGTTAGAGTTGAAAATATGACTCACTCGTTCACAACGGAACTAGAGTCGGAAACATGACTCGTTCGCTCACAACAAAGTTAGAGTCGGAAACAGGACTCTCTCACTCTAAATAGAGTTAGAGTCGAAAACAAGAACTCGCTCGCTCGCTCACAACAGAGTTAGAGTCGGAAATAGGACTCTCTCGCTCTCAATAGAGTTATAGTCGAAAACAGGATTCTCAACAGCGTTAGAGTCGAAAGTAGACTCTCTCAATGGAGTAGTAGAAATGGAGACGACATGAAAATAACATCATGATCGTGGATAAAAGCAAATATATTAATAAAATATTAAAATATAACGAGATATAACAAATTATGGAGGTACCTGGAGATAATTTAACTCTGATACCATATTAGAATATGAAACTGAAATTCTCTATTTCAATGACAAGAACACGTACATATTTATAATGATATACAAATTGTTTAAATAAGATAAAAATCTTACGAATCTCTTAAATGATATAACTATAATAAATATAATATATTATTTCTAAATATATTTTAACACAATTCATGACTATGTTTGATTTATCTAAATTCTAACTATCATCTTCACTCTTAATATCACTTGAATTTATGCAATTTACCAAGACTATGTTTGATCTAAAACGTTCAATTAATAAAATAAGTGAAACTTAAATGTTAACTTCTAGTTGATACAAAATATCAAAAGTTTACGTATTTGTGCAATATAATTTTTTTTTTTATTACAATATTGGTGACTTGTGTTGAGCCATTTCATTCGAAAAAATGTTCGAAATTTAAATTAATGATTTTACTGTCATAAGTTCACTCTATACCACCCCTATTTTTATACCACCCCTATTTTTACTTTCTAGATTCATGTTCAATTTATCATACTCCCTCCGTCTGAGTTCCGAATACAATAGTTCTGTTTATCATTTTTGTTTGTTTCAAAATAATAGTTTTATTTTTCATAAATAATCATATCACTGTAAAATTATTCTTATTTTATTATTATTATTACACAATTGTCACTGTTTTTTACACTAATATATTCTTTTACTCGTAATTTTTACCCGTTATGTACCAACACAACCAGATTATATTTTCGGTACGGAGGAGAACATGATTGAGCAAATTGTTTGTAAAAATCAAGAAAAAGAAATAATTGTAATAACTTGAAGACCAATTCAGGATAGTCGAATCAAATATATCTACCAATATAGTTTTTTATTTAAAAAAAAAAAAAAAAAAAAAACCGAGTACGCCGAAAGATATATAATTATACTCTGAATCAGCTGTGTTCTTATTGCTTCGTGTACTGCAAATTGTCCATTTCCGTGCCATCTGTTCGTCGAGGAGGACACTAAGGGGGATCGGAAGTCCAACACCTGTCGAATTCGCAGATCTATATAAACCGAAGAGCACCGAATTTGAGAAGATGGGATCGATTATGAGCTCGATGAAGAGGGAGGATATTGATAGGGCTTTGGCCGAGGCCAAGGAGATTGTTTCTTCCAATCCTGTTGTGGTTTTCAGGTAAAATCCTACTCTCGACATCATCCGTTTTGTACGCCATTCTCTTTTCTACCGCGTAGTTATTTGCTTCCATTAACTGATTAGAATTGCATTTTCTGAATGTATTTTATGAGTTGGGGGTTCGTAATGGTTGATTGATAATGTTGGTGTAGTTCAACGTAAAATTAGTGGAAAAATTGTACTCTTATCTTATCTATTTGACAATTGGGGATTGGAGCATAGTATTCGGAATATAATTTCTACATGTTCAATCTAAATTAGGGTTCTTGGTACAAGTTCAACATAAATTAAAATAGAACAGAGTACTTTTTGTCAGAACTGAAATTATAATTCTGCCTCGATCATTGTGGCTAAGAATTTGTGTAGAAAAACCTTTCAAATTTGTATGTTGAATACCATGAAAGTTGGGGGCCATATGCTAGCAATTGTATTAGAAATTCTGTGATATGATCATAGATTTTTACACAATCAAACGTGATTGCTAATGTTTCAGCTGTAGAGAGGAAATTCTGTAATAGCATGTGTTTGAACTTCAATCATTTAATTTGACTGTATACTTCTAGAGTTTAGGATTATGTTTTTCATTTTTGGAGTTTAATCTTAGCTTTTCTTACTATGCAGAAAAAAGATTGAATAATCAATCAATTATGAATTAGAATAAGCAATTTTTATAATTCCTGGATTTAAACTAGTATTCTCTTCTAAATTATATGTTTCGTTTTAGTTTGAAATTGATTTAATATGAGGTGGTAGAGTTTTTAAGCAGTATTTTGATGGTAGAGATAAAAATAGTGTATTTTATTGAAAATTGTCCAAATAAATAATGTTCATATTATTCATTTCAGTTCTTAGTCACAAAGGAATAAGATGTGTTCAAACCAAAAAGGCGAAATTGGATTTGAAAAGATTAAATAATCAATCTATGATGAAAATAAAATAACCACTTCTGTAATTCATAGATTTAAACTATTCGTAACAGTATTTTTCTCTCGTGTTTACACAAAAAAGCCAAAATAACAAAACAAAATCAAATTTCAAAATAACATACCACTCCTATTTTTCGCACATTCTTTATAAATTTTGGTTTTAAATTTTTCATATTGTATAAGCCTACTTGATCTACTGATGTGTATCATATCCCAATCCCAAATATGCCGGGTTTTTGTTTGATTCGACGATTTTGTGATGCCTTGTTTGGAGTTCTGTCTCTTCTTTTCAATCTGGATACATTAGCAATATGTGCAGTGTAATTTCTTGTCTTCTTTATCTTTCATTTGGAGGTGTTCTGCTTCGATGAAAAGTTCTTACTTTTATTTGTAATATTTAAATGGTCTTGTTTTACTGCATTTTCATTTCCTGATGTCGACATTTTCCCTTGTGCAGTAAAACATACTGTGGATTTTGCAACAGGGTGAAGCAGCTGTTGTCCCAACTCGAAGCCAAATACAAACTCATAGAACTCGATGAAGAAAGTAAGCAGTTCTAACCCGAGCACCATTGTTTGATCGATTCAGACTAGCTGCTGGTTTTCGCTAATTAATTTTTATTTGATCTTTTCGAAGGCGATGGCAATGTAATTCAGACGGCTCTGGCAGAGTGGACAGGACAGAGGACTGTCCCAAATGTGTTCATTAATGGGAAACACATCGGCGGCTGCGATGGTAAAAGCTTTCCCGGAAAATATTCAGCTAGTTTATCTAGTAAATACTCTCGGATTTGGTTAGTAATTTTCATTTTTTACTCTTGTGACTGCAGCTGTGATGGCGAAACATCAACAGGGGCAGCTTGTTACATTACTAATGGAAGCTGGTGCGACTCCGCAGAAACAATCCACCTGAGTAAGTCGAACTTTTCTTTCGTTTAAAGGGTATGATAAATTAAGGGAAATAGTAGTTGTGCATATATATATATATATGTATGTGTCATGAAACAAGCTGCAAGAATAAATGTAGGATAATAGGTTTTATTGCATCATTGAGATTCTTACTTCATGTGTTGCAGTAAAATTTTAGAGGCAATATAAATGATCTTTGAGATCTTTTTTTAGTTTTTTATCACATTATTTTTTTTAGGGGTGGTCCGGTGCTCCGTGAGGTCATAGGTTTAACTTCTGATATCTCCATGTTTTGTATGCCACATATGGTTCGATTAGTGTGATTTGCATATGGTTGGCCTACTGTGATCTGTTTTGCTGACCTAGTTTACAGGCTATTAGGTTCGGTTGGGAGTTTATTCAAGACATATCCGAAGAAAACCGGCATGTTATAAAAAATAAAAAAAAATGTTCCAGCAGGGTGTTTCATCTTTTACCTTAGAAGACAACGGTGTGTTTGTTTTATTTTTTATTTTAAGTTTGTTTGATTGTTTTTTATTTGAATAATAATTTGGACATAATATTTTATAAAAATAAATACTTTTTTTTTTTTTTTATAGGAAATTACATTAGTATGTATAATTAAAATAATAATAATTAAAAAAAAATGATTGGATTGCCAAATGCCGTGTATCAATAGTATGTAGAATTAGGGGGAAAAAATTGTGTTATGTCGTGGTTGTGTTCTGTTCTAGGTTTTTGTTTGGGATTATTCAAGTGGACCGAAGAGAATATAAAAATAAAAATAAATATTTAATTTGATATTTTTAAGAGTGATTCTTATAAATAATGATAAGTTTGATAAATTACTTAACTATTGGATGATTTAATACCAGCTTATCCATACAAAGGAACTAAATTTAGTACCGGTTTAATTTATTTCTCTGCTCAACTTTGTGGTATTATATCCTCTCGTCACCTAAGAATGTAATGACTTAAGAATGCATTTTTGGATTAATTTAGAGTTTTTTCAAATATATTTTTGACAAAAGAATGTAATGACCACGTTGGCCTGTGCGATTTCGATTTTCAAGTATATTTTTGACAATGAATGTATTGAAGTGAGTAATTTATCTATTTAACAATCGAATGGTTTAGTATCGACTTATTTATACAACGGCCCAACTCATGCTCTACTCAACTCCGGTATTATATATATATTGAGAAATAGTAGCAAGAATAGATACATAAATAAAAGAAAATTGTTTTGTAAGAAATTTAAAATATAATGAGTGATCTTTACATGTATATATATGATGATCTAAAAAAAAATATATAGATTAATATTTTAAATATTTATAACAGTTCTTAAAGTAGTCATCGAGCATTTGCTGATTCTCTTCAAATATATGTGCTTAAAGAACGGAATATTTAGCCGGAACATGAATTTTATGTCAGCATATTTCAATTTTAGTTACAATATTTTGGTACTGTCGTATACTTTTAAGGAATCAGATCTTAAATCAGATGCAAAGATGGGTGGAATGAAATATTTCATATTTTTTTCCACCAAACTTGTTTTATGTGTGCAAGCACACAAAAATTTTAAATATATATTTCTAAAATTTTTCAACACTATATATTGTTAGTCTCAAAATAGATCAAATACCCTGCTCCAAAATTCAGAAAAGTCTCTCAACATAGAGTCGTTGGTTGGACAATCAGACTACAAACATACACACTGATGACAAGATCAGTAAATAATATGAACAAGTTGTCAACCAGTTCAGCACCACTAGTCCACATCTCGAGGATTCCAACCCAAACGTGATTTTACTATCGAAAATATTTAAATACAAAAATACACTAATACAATTTGAGCTACTAATGTTAATAAATGAACACCCTCAAATTTTTAATGTAAAGTTGATAATAAACACTCTATTTGTATATTTGATTCTAAATAAAGACTAAATTACATACGCAAAATATTTTAAATATTTTTTAAATAAAATAAAAAAATAAATAATCGATTAATTCTTCATTTTATAGTTTTTAAGACAAATTAATATCTGATTTTTATAAACAATAAAAATAATGATTGATCAATTATTTATTTATTTATTTATTTAATTTAAGATATTTTATATTTTTTACAGTGTATTTGAAAAGTTAAAACACATATTTTTCCAAAAAACTTAATATATACATTCATTATATTTATATTATTTACATAATTTTTTATACCCTGAAAAAAACCTTTCAAACTATTTTTTGTATCCTAGTTTTCTATTTTATTTATAAAAATAGGATTTAAGATATTAATTTTACATAATTAATTTTGCATTTACAATAAAACAGTTTTTTTTTTTGTTTATTTTAATTTAACACAAATGTTTTCTACGTAAATAAAATACAAAATATTTTATATATTTTGGAGATATTTATCTATTTATGCAAAAAAAAAAATATATATAATTTACTCCTCATTTTTATCTTTCTTTCTAAAATAGGAAAAATTTGAAAATTCGATTTGGATCCAGCACGAAAAATCATAAGATCAAATTTTTTTGAACGTTGTTAGTCCTACACTACTGATAAATACTAATAAGTCGTAACGAACTCGGGCCTATTAAGGTCGGACCGTCCGACACGACTAATGAATTGTATCGGGTCTGGGCCTATGAAGGTCTGGCGTGTTGGCCCATTAGTAAAATTAAATATATTTTAAAATAAATAATTTTATAAATATGTTATTAAATTAAAAATAAAAGCATAATTTAATAACTAGTTTTTATCTTATCCACCCGATATAAACAGGCCTGGACCTGTCCGGTTATGTAATAGAAACAGAACGGGCCGGCCCGGCCAGGCTCAAAATTGCCCCTCTGCTACCCATATTCCATAGTCTAAAGATCGATTTTGATTTAACAACAATTTCGGTTCAAACCAGAACCACGGTTCGAACCGCCGGTTCGAAACCGGTTGGGCATGTGTATCGATACAGATTTTGTTTATATTTCTCGCTAATCCTTTTAACTAGACTCGTTTTTGCCATAGCCATCGTTTCTCTTCTTCTTTTTTGGTTTCAATCATTTTTCTTGACAATGGAAGTGCCTGAAAGGCGAGACGATACGGCGAGTATTGTAAGTTCCTGTAGTCTGAAATATGTGATTTTCACTTTTTATGAGTTGTGTTGTCTGAAACCGATGGGTATGAAGGGTTTTCATCTAGCTAGATCATTTGTTCGATTTCTTTTTTTTGGTGATAAATTGTTTGCTTTTCGGGTTTGTATATGCTATAAATAGGTTAATTTTTCTGTTGGAAGTTAGAAATTTACTATTATCACAGGCATTTTGCTATAGGTTTAGCATCCTGATGCGTCCATTCTTGCAATGTCTATGATGCATTTCAATTTTAAAGCAAAAATGGGATAAATTCGATGTAATCAGTTATAAAGTTATGGAAATTCTTGTTAGAGATACTATGACATCGATTGATATGGTAGTTTGTGATTTAGGGGACTGAAAGGATGGCTGGAACTGTTAGTTGGGGCACGGCAACGGTCATTGGAGTATTTGCTGGAATGTTATATGGAGGTAGCAAGGAGGCCTCTGCTTCTGTTGTAAGTAAACATGCCTAAAATGTGCTAAATTTTACTGTCCCTTGTGGAGTGGAACAGTTTTGTTTCAACCACCCTTCGATTCTATGAAGCTCTTAAATAATCCTATTTTACATACAGCGTGGTGTTCCGGGGATGCTTGTTTTCTTTTTATTTAATAAGGGATTTACGATTTATGGCTTTATTAGAAAAAAAAAAGGGTAAACGAACAGCTCGATAGATTGAGAGGAAAGTGAAGAGTATCCTCATTTTATGTGGCTTTACTGCTGGAAGACTATGCAACATCGAAAATGGTGGGAACGAGGATATAGATGTTACTTGTATATGGTGTTAAGATACTTTTGATGTTACTGTGTGTAGTTCGTTGGGTATATAGTGTACTATTAGCAAATGATTTTTCGTTGTTGTTATCAAGTTTTGATGGCTAGTGATGAAATATATTTAATTAATACTCAATGATGTTTTCATTTTGATTAAGTTGATTGATTGATACAATCTTTGGCCTTTGATGTTTGGTCATGGAAAAACTCAATTTCTTCTAGGACTGCAATTAATGTTGCGTGCAGTATTCTATTTGTAACTTTGAGTTAGAAGATGTAGTTGTATGGTTTGTATATAATTATATATATATATTTATTTATAATATGCACACGAAAAACTTTCTGAACTTATCTTGAGATCTCTGTGATGGAGTCATCTATTTTATTAATGAGTAAGACGATTTTGCTGAGCAATATCCTTATACCTCTATATTACAGAGCAAAGATGCCGAGGTAATGCTGAAGCTTGGAAGCACTCCTGATAAGCGTGAACAATATCGACTTATGAGAGATGCAATGGAGAAAAGGTTTATTCGAGTTACTCGTGGTTCAATTGTTGGCGGAGTTCGTCTTGGGATGTTTACTGCTGCCTTTTGTGGTTTGCAAGACATACTTGCTGAGAAGCGAGGTGTATATGATTTGTATAATGTGGTTGGAGCAGGTTCTGCCACGGCTGCTACATTTGGTTTAATATGTGAGAGGCCTAATTTTTTGAGGAACAATTCTAGAATTCATTTCTTCTGTTTGTGAAGCAATGGTACATATATATATATATGTACATATTTATGCATATGTTATTTCTTCCATTTACAGTGCCTGGTTCACTTCGTTGGCGCCTGAGAAATGCGATGTTGGGCTCGGTATTAGGTGCTGCAATCTGCTTACCTCTAGGTAAATATCATCACTATTTAAAATTTAGGATATATGGTGGCCTCTTGTTCTTGAGTTTGTGATTGATTTAAGCAATTAATGATTTAGTGTTGCTGTAATACTTTTAAGATTAACTATTCCTAATTTTTTTTGGGTAGTTTCGAAACTATCAAGTGCTTCTGTTTATGAAACTATGAACTATGCCTTGTTGTTCCCTAATAGATTAATACTCTGTTGAACGACCATTACTAATGCCTGATTTTCGAAATCTTTAGGTCTTCCTCTACCGAATTGTCTTTTTCTCTGGTACCACTGTTAGGATATGCTATCTTTATTATTTTACAGTCGAACTGATAGAAAATGATAAGATTTATCTTTATTGTACCCTTAAAAAGGGGACTTAATTTTTTCTCCTCATTGTAAATTTGAGAATAGGGAAGCCGTAAGCAAGATCAAATCATAAATTCAAACCATGATTGAATCTAAACGGCGTTTGTTAAATTGTTTCCTTTTTAGGGTGGATTCAGCTGAAGCTTGTAGAGAAAGCAAATGAAGGGAATTTGTCTACTGCCAAAGTTCGTGATACTGCCCATGGGCCATGAGAAGAGCAATATTGGCCCTGCAGCTGAGCTGAGAAGCTTCAACGGAACTTAAAAAAATAGGACATAGGTGATAGCACTGTAATGGCAACGATATTTTACATCAATATTGAAGCACTTCATGCATGTGGATAATGTTTTCCATTTGCACGGGGGTGGTTTTGACATATTTCAGATTCTCATTTTTTGGCAGATCATGGTAGATAAGCTATTTCATTGATTTCACCCAACTTGATAAAGTAGGATCATGATATGTTGTATTTTGGGACCTTTGCACGACTTTCTAACGACTGATGAAATTTTTGCTGTTATATTTTTCATTTTAAGACCGGTGGTCCAATGGGTTTGCAGCTTTATTATATGTCTGTACGTCGGAAAATGGTTTTTGGTGCAGGGGAGGGCCTCTGTTGCAAAAACGATTTGGGGACGGATATGAAAAGGAGATTCTTTTTTCATTTCAGGTACATATTTAGAGAAGAAAAGAATTTGATTTCCATATTTACACTCTAGTATGTGCGACGAACAATGTTTACTGGAAAAATTGTGATTGGGTCCTCTTTATTAGGTTACACCATTTATCTACAAATTCTGATACATCCGAATCTGATCTTGTTCCTCTGTGTATCTCAAGGATTTGAAGAATTTCTTCAGTTTCGCCCAACAACAAAGCTGCTTGACGAACAGATTCCTCTTTATCTTTCATGGATTTCTGGTGGCACTTCATGATTATGACGTGCGTTACGTTGGTAAGACAAGCTGCCATTATATTTGCAATCATGTTACATATCTGTTGGAACAGTCCTTCATCCATTCGAAGATGATCGCCATCATATGCTCTCAGAAGTCTTTGGCAGGTCCTGTACATCGAGTTAGCTGCTATGGCGTTTACTGGCCAGTTGAGAGGATTTTCCATCAGTGAATCTTTAACATCCTTCTTGAATTCCACAATAGTCTTCTCAGCTTTGCTCGAAAGCTCTTCCAGTATCTCCTTCGAGTTTTTCCCTTTGAGAGACGTTTCATGGAGGTCGTTGTCCAGCCACTTCAGGTATAATTCAACTCCAACCCAACTTACATCTGCTGCATTTATGCTGTTCGCCAAGTTTCTATCGTTGTCCATGCTTTTCTCAATAAGTTTCACATAATATAGGCCTTCATCGACGCTCTGCAGAAGCCAGTTAATTTCTTGCTTTGGGATTTTCGGAAGTGCAATGGCGACGCTTGTTAAGGTCACCAGTGGCAATGACCAACATTTTGGAGGTTCTTGAGAGTGCAGGCTTGGGATTTGGTTCTTGTCGACTTCTCTCAGCCCTTTAAAATTCCCGACTTTATGAAGAAGGCTTATCAGGTTCTTCGGCTGCTGCTTCTTCCCTGTTTCAATCAGTTTATCCACCTCATTAAGAATGCTGGATTGGACTTTCTGAGGAAGCCTCGATTCGCCTTCTAGTAGTAGAACATACCGACTGAGATCTACATCCAATGTTGATTCTGGAATCCCATGTACGCGTGACGGGCCGGATAAATGCTTCAGTGTTTTGAAGATTGGAATTGCGAAGCAGAAAGAAATGAACTGAACCACTTTGCTGCTCCTTACGACAAGAATCTGAACTCGGACAAGAATGCTCAGAATTAGTCCTTTTGTCTTGTGCAGAATCCTTCTCCACCTCCGGTTTCTGATTTGCAGAGGGAAAGAGCTCTCTTTCCATTTGATAAGCTTTCGTGTCCAGTAAGATTCGACCTTGAATTCATCCATGGTTCTCCATTTGCCATTTTTGCAACATTTGAGCTTTATTGCTGTGAAGAATCTGAGTGTCGGGGCAATGCTCCCGACGGCCACACCAATGGACTGCGAAAGAAGAATCCACTTGATCGACCAATCGTATTTGGAAGCAGTAAGTTTACAGTTCATGTACTGTACTACTAATCGGATCTCAGCTTCTAACAAAGCAAGAGCCGCCAGCATACAAATAACTCCCGAGGCTGTGCAGGTCACGGATCTAGCAATCACAAATTGGGGGCTGCTGGTTTCTGCCATCACCCAATGTTTCTGAATCATCAGCCTGAGTTTGTTGAATGAAAAGTTTCCATCCTCTACCGATTCCATGAACTGTTCATCCGAAGCCATCTTCAGCATTTCGTTGTACTTGGACTGCAGGTATCGCTTCGTTTCTGGTACCATTACAGCTGAAGAAGCCATTGTTACAACCGAAAGGAGGATGAAAACAGTTGCCGCAATTTCTTCAGCAAAGAACTTTCTATTTCTGAGGTAATGCCGCATTTGGATGATTTGAACAGAGACATTTACTATGACGGTAAGTACAAGAATGCATAAAGCCGTTGCATTCATCAGAATTTCTCTATCATTCATTACTCCTAAACATGTCATGAAATTTCCTGTCGCAGTCGACATGAGGATCATGCTACTAACTTTCGCCAATCTATCCGTGGCAGCGTACATTCGAGTTGTGAGGTCCAGCGGAAGCTTCATAGCCACGGCTAGTAGTGTCAAAGAAGTGGCGTTAAGCGAAAAATACTTACTGGGAAACCAGTATTTCTTGCCTCGAAATCCCTGGAAGGTATCGGCTGCCATAGCAAGCGTGCAAGACAGCGATGCTCCGGCAACGTACATCCCTATCCATGGCATTGGACCATTGAGCTGTTTCTCGACATCTGCAGATAAAGCAGTATCGTTCCCGGGCATTGGTGGAGAATCACTTTTGAGGTACCTAATCTATCTGGCTTTGTCTGTTTTTTTCTTCAACTTAAGGAATTATTATCTGTCTGAATTTCGATTTCGATAGCTAGTGCCATATATAATTTTCGAGTTTAAAAATGAATGAAAAAACAGTTGTGTTCAAACTTCAACCAACCATTTAAATATGATCATTTGAATTTCAACTCATTGCCAGAAAAGGGAGATCTTAAGTCTGATGAGGCTTTATTGTTTGATTTGTTCCATTTTGGCTGCTGAAGTGTTTTGGTTGACCACTTGACACTGTTATCACTTTGACTTTGACTTTACTATTTTGGTAAGGTCCAAAGTGTTAGTTGTTGATTAAAAAAGGAGAATCCTATGCTACTTACTAGTTACTGCACCTACACTGTATGAGTCGAAATTATTTATAATCCACATGTAGTTTGAAAAGTTCGCTTAATTTTTTTTTTATTTAAAAATTGCATTAGATTTTCTTGTGTTTTTAAAATATTGCACAAAATCTCATTTTTAGGGGATTCCATGCAATATTTTTTAAAATTAGGAATTCTCCGACAGAATCAAGAATAATCAAACGAGAAAACTTTGTTTGCCCAAAACAGCAGACGGCTTAAAATCCAAAACTTGATTGAAATCCAATGAATTTCAAAAAAACAATCCTAAGCCTTATTTATACCCTAGGTGGAACACAAACCCAATGAAATAAAAAAAACCCAAATATAATAAAGGTTCAACTATTAATAATTAGTAAAATACTAAAATCTTAAGCTTGCGATGGCAAGCTCAATGCTGTCCCCGCCTCTGGAGATGAGTAAGGGCCTTGGCCCTTTTTTATTCTTGGATACATGCTCTGGCTCTCTATTATTCTCGTGCAATTTTTAGGAAATTTGTGCAATGTTTTCTTAAACACCATAGAGCTTTGTGCAATTTTTAAATAACGGAAAAGTATGGTGTCGACTTTTTGAATCACAGGTTGATTATAAGCAATTTTGCGTTTGTAATGATTAATGATTATTTTACCTTTTGGCATAGCTCTATATGCATCTTGGAGATCTACTATGGAATTTGGCAAAATTGCTTATAACCTATCCATGATTTAGAAAGTCGGTACCACTTTTTTATGATTTAGAAATTGCAGGATGTATCTTAGAATTTATTTATTTTTGAATAGAATCGCTTATAATTTGTGCAGAGTTTTTTTTTTTTTTAAAATATTGCATAGATGTATTATAAGCAATTTTGCAAATTTTGTTTAATTGCTTTAGATAGAGTATCCATTTCCCTCACTGGGTTAGAAAAATCTATCTTTTACATATTTATTCAATAGTGCTTTTCCTCTTTATAAAATCCTTCGTACAATAGTAAATGAGTTCGTGAAATAGATAAAAAGAATACTTTGAATTATTGTTATTTGACTGACTTTAAGGTATATCAAATTGTTTGTTTACAAAGAAAAGGTCAAGGAAACCCCCCCCCCCCTCCCCCCTCTCCCTCTTTTTTATTTTTTAATAAGAGTAGGGTGTTTTATTTGGTTATGAATTTAAATTTTGTTTATATAATATTTTATGAAATAAAAAAAAAAAATTGAGTATTTAATTTGATGTTTTGGAGGGAAAAAAAAGTTAGAATAGTAAAATCAGGGTAAAATCTGACAAGTAAACACAATTATTTCAAAAAGTGATTTGATTGAGGAGATTTATTATGAGGTCTAAGTGTTGTTGGTTTGTATTTTTGGATGTTTTGAATTCTTTTTTTTAGAAGGAAAAATATATTTTAAATCTAGTATTTTAAATATGATATTTTGAATAAAATAAATATTATATTATTAAAATAAAATTGAAACACAAACAAACTTACTAGCATAACCCTTGTGTATTCTTGCTAAGAGGTTTTTGGAGACTATATATAGTTGTGGTCATTTAAGAGTGGAAAAAAATATAAATTTTAATTTTATACTTAGCATTACTTTTAAATCATTTTTTTAAGATATATTTGAAAAATCGGATTGATTGATTAATAGAATAGTTATATATAAATTTCGATTTTTATTTATTTATTTATTTTTCGGTACCATATGGTTTGATTTGTTGAAAAATGTATTAATACATTGATCAATAGGGTTTTGTTTATTGTGAGTAGAGCTGTCAAAATGAGTTAAGTTTTACGACTTCTTAAAAGAGGAGTAGGTCAATAAATTTTTATTGACAAATAAGTCATATTAGGCGAATTATGTGTGACAGATGGACATGAAGGCGTCGAAGTTTGAACCAAGACTTTACTGTCACGAGTCGCTACCACTAGATCTACTTTTGCATTTTAGTGTTTAGGTTTTATTTTATTTTTGGTAATTGTTGTCTTTCAACATATATAAACATGTTTAATTTGTAATGTACTTCTTCCTTGATAAAATATTTATTTATTTTTTATGGGATTTGTCACAAAGTTTGTGGTGTTTCATTTATTTGGCAAGTGATTGATTGTATTATCTTGCAAGTTTAGAGTTAGTGGTTATTGGTGTTTGGTACAATTAGGTTTCTAATTGACTTCTTGCATACTTAAATAATTTTCCCTATTTTTTTAATCACCATTTGCTTAATCCTATATATATATTATATAAAAGCTCAACAATTACACAAAAAATAAAAATAAATCAACTTAAAAAAAAAGAGTAAAAATTTCAATGTTAAGCATTATTTGTTTTTGGGTAAACTGTTTTTTTTAGTTCCGTAACTGGATCTTTTATTATTTTAGTCCTGTAAGTGGAACATGTCGCAAATTTTTTTCGCTATTTTAGTCCTCCGACACCGGAGACGCCCGCGTGGCTCGCCGGACCTGACGTGTCCGCCAGGTGTCCCGCCAGGTCAGCGACATCTGGTGGACACGTCACCTCAGGTGCTCCACTCACGGACTAAAATGATAAGGAGGTCCAGTTACCTGACTAAAAAAACAGTTTAGTCTTATTTTTTACATTATTGACATGCTTTCTTGAAAATTTTTAAAAAATATATATGTTTTTCTTTATTATAATCACGTTGAATTGTTTCCTAATCATAAATTTATCACTACTTCATCTATATTATTTTGAATTACCATATCTTACCTTCTTCTGCTGCTATTGTGGTAAGAAAAATCGAAAAAAATCTGTAGATCTAATATGATTTGTGTAGACATGTTGTCCCAACTCTGACCTGGATTGTAATTAAAATACACATTCTGTCCTTCTCCATCAATTTTCAATTCTCCAAATGTGTATTTTAATTCATTCCTAACTTAATTAATTGTCTAAACAAATGGATCACACACAAATAAAAAGATACCCAAAAAAAAAAAAAAAAAAAAAATTGACTTGATGTATGAGAAAAAACATCGAATAAAACACAGACGTTCGATCCTAGCAGTTCTTTTTTGCCAAATCTTTTCTTCTTTTTTTTTTTTTGAGTTTCTCCACAAGTTTTTACTATTTTTTTTCTATTCCGCCATGTTGTGGGATCGATTTTATACCAACAGTGATGTCGATAAACAGCTCGAAGCTCCTGTGCCATGGATAGGCCTCTATATCGCCGGAGCATCTCTTCTATGCTCGCTCGGCATGGCCGTCGACGCTGTCCGCGGCATCCGGTCGAAGAAATTTTGGATCCCGTCGAGCTATTTCTCGCTTAATTCCGTATCCTTGACGCTGCTCGCCGTGGCAATGAAGCTGCCGGTTGATCTAACGACGAGGATGTACACCGTCACCGATCGTCTAGCGAAGATCGGAAGCCTCGTGTTCATGTCGACTTCCATGGCGAATTTCTTGACGTCGTTGGGGTCGATGACCGATCGCGACATTCTTATGAATGTCGCGGCTTTAGGCATTCTTGTCGTCACGGTCACCGTGAATGTCGTGATCCAAGTTTTTCAGCTCCGGTCGTTTCTTCGGGGCCGGTTGGCGTTCGCCGAGGAAATTTTTTCTGTCAGCGCGATGCTACTGTTGTTAGTCATGTTTGCCTCATCGGCGTTGATGATCCCGTCGATGAAATGGTACCTCGAGACGAAGTATCGGGAAATGCATACATCAGCTTTGGACGAAGAGGGAGTCAGTACAGGGAGAATTTCGACTAATGAACTTCGAGTCGCGATCAAGAAATATTGGCTAATGGCGAAAACTAGTTCGCCGCAATTCGTGATTGCGCGATCCGTAACGTGCGCCGCGTCCGGCGCCGTCTCGTTGTTCGTCGCTCTCGCTTTTGTCTTGCTCGAGCTTCGGATGGCGATGAAGTACAAGATCTTCAATTTATACGATTCGAGCTATGGTTGGTCGACAAAATGGATACTTTTGTCGCAGACGGTTGGAGTAGTCGTTGGCACCGTAGCCCCGGCGTCGAGATGGTTCGTTGCCGTCAAATTCAGGTTCAAAAACGACGAAATAAAAAACGGGTTTGTAGTCGAGAGCTACTGGACACAGAAGATGTTCGATTGGAAGCAACGATCGTTATCGGTTAACATTCGACATCTCAAGTTCCGAAAAGTCGTTCATAATCTTCGAGGATTAGTCCTCCGATTCACCATTTTCGCGCAGTTTCTTCTCGTTATTACCAGCAAAGTACTCCTCGCAATCTCGATCTGTTTATCGAGCCCGGCTATTCTCACTCTTAGCTACATTCGAAGATCGAAGCTTCGAAAATGTGTGTTCGATACAGCGAAGATTGATGTCGATCATTACGTGATACTTCTCGAAGGGGAATCGAAACTTCCCGCGGAGACGCTGGAGAACATCTGCAAAGAAATGGACGACGTTATTAGTGAAGGTAAGTCGAAAAAGCCGAAGAATTTATTGAAACTTTTGTATCGATCAAGCAGCTTCGGGGGAGTGATGCGATTTGATAATCCGGAAGTTTCGAATCTTCATTCTCAAGAACTTCCTTACTGCTGGGCTCTACCTGTGATCACGCTTACGAGCATCGCCCTCGCTCTCCCGAACGTCGAAAAGAAAAAATCGAGAAGCTTGCTGGACAGCGTCACCGAAGGGATTTCGTTCCTAAAAATTGTTGATAAAGCGCTCGATCGAAAAGGCAATTTATTGAACATCAGAACGGCTGCGGACGTCGCGTGGGTAGGAGTCGAGCTGTTTCATAAATGGCAGGACAATGATCTTCACGAAACGTCTCTCAAGGGGAAAGAAGCTGTCGAAATCTTACGCGAGCTCTGTAATAACGCCGAATTGACTGTTCGAGATTTTGTAAGAGAAGCTAGAGACTGTCTGATGAGAAATCCTCTTAACTGGCCTGCAAGGGTCATTGCAGCCAACTCCATGTACAGGATTTCGAGCGCAATTCTACTCGGGGGCAGCGACGAAACAGGCGAGCGATTGTTCGAGCAGCTGTCCGTAACGGTTGCAGACATAATGGGTGCGTGTCTGACGAACATGGCTCATGTAATAACCAACAAGTGTCGCCGAAACGCCATTGAAGAGAGGGAGAGAAGCGTTCGTCGAGCAGCTTTTCTTTTGGGCGAAACGGAAGATGTTATTGCTCTTGTTCAGCAACTCGAGCTGCCATTTTTGGCGCTCGATCGGATGGCTACAATCGAAGAGTGGCGAGCGCTGATGAAGAAAGAAAGTTTGAATGATCGAAACTTTAATTATTACGAAGGCGAACATCGAGACATGTAATGCATAATCACACGAAAATCGCATCGCTATGAGTCGCGAACTTGCAAGCGCCCGTAAGGCTCGATTCTTCGATATGCTCGGGTGATTCGAGATTTGTACTAGTTCATGTTTCGGAAACTACGTATACACATATAACAAAATACGCTAAAATTTCAAGAACTTGATGTAACGATTCCGAATCTTTTCCTTTGGTATCAAAGGTATTACGAGTCTAGATCGAATCCATTGCTTGTGTTCGTGATAAATCGTTGTTGCCATTGATTTCTGTTGGCTCCAAATTCGCTCAAAACCAAACAACAAACAAATAAAAGCACCACAATTTATCCAAACAGATTTAGCCACAAACAGTTCATGAAACGATCAAACAACATACGCAGACTCTGAGTTTAAAAATAAAATACATGAAATTGAGAACCCAATTTGGTTGCAAGAGACCTACATTTAGAAGGTTCCAACTCAGACATAATTTCACTAAATCAAAAAAAAGATGAACTTACATATTTGCAAAAATTACTATTTCTGTCATTTGATTGCGCAACGTTCACACCACGTGCGACCAAATGATAAAAATATAGAATTTTGTAAACATCTGAGATATATTTTGTCAACAAATAAATATAAGACAAAAGTTATAATGTATACAGACATAATTTTTTGCAATTTTCAGTTGTATATTAAGACAATACAATATGTGTTGTATGTATTTTTCAATTGAAAACAGATTGTAAGAATCCAATACCACACACATATTTTTAATTCCATTTATGTGTTGTATGTACTTTTAACACTAATCAACACAAAGAATTGTTGTTTTATTAAAAATGAAAGAATTTAGGTGTGTTTTTTCAAATAAAAAATATTATCAAATAAATAAATATTATTCAATAAAACTAAGATTTGTTACTAAAAATATTTTTTTTAATGACACATTTCTTAATATATATATATATATAAAATATATTCTATTCTATCAAAAAAATAAAATATTAATACATCCGGTAAGGTCATGGGTTCAAATCCCCGATGCTTCAGGTTACTTGCCACATGGTCTACGGGGTATTAGGTTTGCCCAAGAGTTTCTTGGAGACATCCTCGAACCCCACCATGCCCTTCTTCCTCACAACCAAAGGAGAGCTCTTCGAACCACCATCTATTAAGCATTTGTTCCCAATCCTGTCGCTCATCTCCATAGCTTCCATGGTGATAGAATCCATGACCACTATTACTTTGTGCATATCCTGATCAAAGTTCTTGATGTCCCCCTCACGACTAGTCGATCCACCCTAGATTTCATCAGCTATATGGGATTCAATCAGATCTGCAGCAGCATAGGCCACATCTGCTATGCCACTTTACAAGGTATCATCAGCTTTTTCGATAGCTTCGTGGGGTTTCAACTCCAGGAACTCTTGCAAGGAAGTGATGCTCTTGCTAATAGATTCGATGTGTTGTTTGTCGAGAAAAAATCGGAGGACGTGGATGACTTTGGATCTGATCTATAAGAGTCATAAGAGACACAAGAGATGCATAAGCTGCCATGATTTTGATTTCTTCCCAAATGTGTTTCTTTCGCCACAGAAATTAATTTCAACAAGACTGATGTATAGAAAATGTTTGGTAGATGAACAAATTAAATGTGTTTTGAGTTTACTACAATTATCGGATTGCCTTTACAGCTTGCATTGTGTTCTTCTTTGCTTTTTAGTAATGGTGTTTTATGATACTCTCAAGCTTTTACATACAGACAAGTTTTAATGGCGGGCCATAAGGACATTTTTATTTATTTATTTATCTTTCAAGAACCAGAACAAGAATTGATCTCTGGATAAGAAACAAGCCAACACCTTACGATGCTGATGTACGAATTGAAATAGTCGAACAAGAGAATAATTGTAGAAAAAAAAATTGAAACTTTTTTTTTTTTTTTTTATTAATAATCGAAAACTGATTGCAACAACAGAAAATTAAACGTACTTATTTATAGAGTTACAAATCTAAGTCCAAAATACATAAACTAAAAAAAAAAAAAAACTACAATTTTTTTAAAAAAGAACCTAAAAGTATAATGTTTGGGTGCGTTTGTTTTGGGGGTTTGAGATTTGAATAGTAAAAATTTTGAATTGTAATAATAGTATGATGTGATACAAAATATTGATGTGATATTTTAAATATAATATTAAGTTTTAGTATAATATAAAAAATGAAAAGAGGTGTATAATTTGATATTTTTGGAAAAAAAAATTGATAAACAGTGAAATTTAGGGAGAATCCCACAAATAAACCCACCAGGTCGTTTGTAAATAAATAAATAAATAATGCGTATCCCTAAGCTTTTAGGTGAGTCGGTATTTATATAATCTAACATGGTATACGTTTAGTTTGGTGGCGTTTAGCCCTACATGTCCAAAACATTCGACTATATGATAATCTAAGACTAGTTCGCAAGAGCATACGCGAAAGAAGCTTGAATCATCGAGCTCTCGGATTGCACAAAAAACAGGCTTCTAAAAGAATGTCCGCATAATACAAGTGTCGTCGCCTATTACAAGAAATCATTGTTGAACTCCTAGGTAAGATTGAGGATACCATTTCGACAACAAAACATGCTTCCCCTTCACGATCAACAAGAAAATCCCGTAGCACGGTATGTGTAGCAGCGCAATGCTCGAATATCTGCAGCATTCGTAATTAACATAAGCCCTCATTAACCTACCTACATATGATCGAAAATATTTTCCCTTTACTACGGATCGAATAGAGGCTTACAGTAATGGAGCGTAGGAAGATGATAGATCGAGAAAGGGGTAAGGCCACCTGTTTTTCAGACACGAAAACACCTCTTACAAAACTTTAGCAACATTATTTTCTATTGGAACATGAAATTGAAATTCTTTATTTTGATCGTAAGAACTTGTAGATATTTATACTACACATCCTTTAAATAAGTCAAGAATTTCACAAATATTTTAAATAAGACAACTAGAGCTGTAAACGAGCCAAACAAAATTGAACTTGTCATATTTGAGCTCGGTTCGTTTAGCAATTTTTTTGTTCGTGTTCAGCTCGGCTCGTGAAGAAAATTTTTATTTGATTTATTTATTTATTTTTTAAAAAATTTAAATTTAGTTAATAATAATTATAATTTTTATTAATAATTTAAATAAAAAATAGAATGAAATATAATATTTATAAAGATATATATACTTATTAAATATAAAATTATTAATTTAATTTTTTAATAAATACTACCAAACGTTCAGGAGCAAGCTTAAGCTCGTTCGTGACATAACGAGCCAAAATTTATGTTTGTGTTCGGCTTGTTTAGCTTAACGAACAAGCTCTTAGTGGACTCAAACGAGCCGAACCGAGCCAAACTCGCAAACTATTTGTTTGTTTTACAGCTCTAAAGACCACTACTATAAATACAATCAGTGTGTTCACAAAAGTTTTTAGATGATGAATTGATTTTTTTGTGTGTGACATGAGAACAGTGTTGGTAATATAAAAAATAATATTTTAATTTGAATAATTGATTTTTATGAGTGGATGATATATATTATATTAATGTGCGTATATTTGTACATTTTTAATAATATTTATGAAAAATTGTTTCGTTATAAAATATTGAGTGAATAAACACAATATATATTTTCTAAATATATCTTTAACAATTTTCATATGTAAGAAGAGTGAAGAAAGAATTGTACCAAATAGACACACTGGCATGGAGAATCCATTGGAAAAGAATGTATGAACAAGTCCATAGAAGGAAGTAGCCGATTCGAAACCACGGGAATGTCTGCCGGATTTAAGAAAACAAATGAATACACACGAACAAAAATTGTAAAAATGATTTTTCCTTCTTACCAAGCTGTTCAAAGCCGTGTCGATGAGTAGGAAAACAGCGTTGGTCGAGTGCATATTTATTACCAACTGCGAAAGGGAGTGTTCGTTTATGTCCAAATCAAAAACCACAACCGATACTAATTTCCAAATCGAAGACAACTTACGAAGTTGAGTTTATAATCCTTTGTTGCAAGAAAGGGAACTATAACAAACCAAAAGACTATGTCCGTAAGCACCACAGCTCCCGCGCTTATCTGACGATTAAAGAGCTATTACAAAAGTGGAGTGTAGCACTACAAAAAAATATCTAATTAGCTACAATATTTTTAACTATGAAATATTTTTGTAGTTAAAATGTGTCATTTAGTAACAAAAATTAATTTTATCGCTAAAACTAAAGTATGTACTATAAAATTAATTTTGCTGTTGAAATTTTTTTGCTAAAAAATTCTATCTTCATAGCAAAAAAGTTTTAGCTACAAAATGATTTTCAAAGCTAAAATCATTTGTCTACAAAAATCAAACATATTTTATTGCTAAAACTCTTTTGTTATAAATACAACATCATATTTTCGTAGCTATATAAATATTTTGAAGTTTTATTGCAAGAAAAACTTATTTTTTGTTACGAAAGTCATATTTGTCGCAAAAAATCTTTACTAACGCTGTATAAGCGACGTAATGAGTTTCGTCGCAAAAATATTTTTGCTATGAATTATTACCTTTTGCTACAAATTTTTTTTGTAGCTAAATTTCAACTTTCTTGTAGTATAGGAATCAATGAATGTTCGGACAGCTCCAAAACTTGCCTGAAAAATGATGTGGTAGACACGGGACAATAATCCGGCCTTTTCGCGACGTTCTTGGTTTAGGTCCACGATTTTTGTCCATCCGTAGGATCCATGCTCGGCGTCAAAATGCTCTTTTTCGAGGCTTCTATATCGGTAGCATCCGCGCATCGATAACATGGATCCGAGCTACAACATCGATTCCTATGTCAAAATAAATGAAACATACTAAGGAAGTGTTTGCTCAAATTCGGACAAACTTACCCCAAAATATATCGTTACAAGCGTAAAAGTCCACCTGTAGGACAACGTTGTGACATCTTTAGTACATTTAGCAATGAGATCGATATAAAAATGATCCAAACATTTTAATCGAAAGAAATCTTGTTACATTTGATATTCTTATCTTTTGAAATTTAGTTTCAATCTTTTGAAATATAGGAAATTTACTTATAATTTTATTTCTGGTTTGAAAAATTTTCTTCTTAAAAATATTTATTTTTTATATTATACTAAAAATCAAATTTTAAATTCAAAACATTACATAAATATCTATTTATATCGCATCATACAGCTATTCGAATTCAAAATTTTTACTATTCAAATTCCAACTCAAAATTCAAATCTCCAAACAAACACACCCCGAAAGCCAGCGAATTAATTTAATTAATTTGTTTATTTTATGTTTTCAAAACTTGTTTTCCTCTGTTCATCAAAATTTCTCTCTAACAACATCTTATATCAAATATCTAAATTTCATTTAAAATATTACATTAAAAATTTATTATCTATTAAAAACATCATATATAACATCTATTTCTATTAAATCAAATATATATTTTTTAAGTCTGGAAAGATTATTAATCTAAATATTTAAGCTTTATGACAAAATTTCATTCATAGAATGTCTTACTGAGTATAGTAGTAAAAAATGCTCGAACCATCTACGACAACGTTGAGGACGAGCATTGTAAGAAGTATGAAGCCCGCGAAGACTCGGAAGGCGAGAAGCCAGCCGGGATGGACACTTTCAAGGCACGGCTTCCACGCTTGATCCTCATACAAGACTCCACAACATTGGTGCTTATGTTGTCCTAAAGAACAACAATGTCGTTCATGTCTTGATATGATAGAAGAGGCGAAGATAATCGGCATAAGAATCCATATGGAGCACAACAAAACCCTCCAATTAATCCAATAAGACACGGTGGTCGTGTCGACCGTCGTGGCTGGCTGCCACGACCTCGTTGATCCTGTAATGAACTCGAATAGACTCATGTTGTCCGATCCTTCTAGAAGTCGGGAAATATGCGCCTCTATGAACGCGGGCCGGGCCGATGAATAGATACCTTCTAAGAGCCTCAAAATTAGAAGTTGTTTGAGAGAAATTCATACCAAAGTGAGGATGAATTGATGCATAAATTAATTTCTTGGTAATAATATATGAGAATAATAATTGTATGAAAAATTGGAAGAAAACAATGTCTATCTGAGGAAAGGATGAAGGATGAATTGTGATGATGAAATAATATTGTAAAATGATAAATGTGAAAATGATGAGGAAATTAAAAGGCAATAAGATTGTTAATTGCAAGCAAAGAAAGGATGGAATGCTTTGGGGAAAACTGACTGTGGATAAGTTAGAGATGATACAATAACATTATGCTTTGCTTCAAGTTAAAGAATTGGAAAGCTATGGTTGAGTAGAACCTTCTCCCACCCCCACTCCCCCCCCCCCCTCTCAATATATATATATATATATATTACTTTGCAATTTTTTAGACTATTTAATTTTTGCAATGTCCAATAGAACTATATATATATTGTGTGTATAATATCACAAATGTTCAAACAATAAATAAATATTTTAAATTTATTTCCATTAATGTTTCAAAAAAATAATAATAAAAAGTTACGCTTTATAATATATCATTTCACTTACTTTTTGTAACCAAGTAATTAGTTTTAATTACCAAATGTTGTAAATTCAAAAAAATTCAAATTCATTAATTTAAATTCCAGTATTATGATATCTAAATCTTTCCAAACCAATAGTAGCATTATTCAAATTTATTCTTTTTTTTGTTTTTTTTAATTGTCATCTAAATTTATTTTTCCCCCACCCCATTTTGAGTAAAAAAATACCATATTTTTATACTTTTTTTTACTCTAAAAAGAAAATATTTTTATTTTTACTTTTTTTTTCTTAGAATGCATCCCCGGTCAAATAGACATACATTTTGATGACGGAAAAGTACAATCTATAATTATATAACCCAATGGTATTGGTGCTTCAAAAAGAATGTTGCGTTTTTCTTGAATAATTCTAGAGTTTTTGAGTTCATCTATAGAAATTATAAGTTCTAACAAAGTTCTTTCATTTTCCTCTATACATTTCTCGCCATACAAAATAATTCCAATGATCCTAACAAATGGTTTTTTTGTTTTTTATTTTTTTTACTAACGCACTTTCCCGTGGATCAAACCTCAAACTTCAACCATGCCAAGGGAGAATTCAACCTCTTAAATTACACACCCTCAGCTGATCCTAACCAATGATTCAAAGCCAATTATTTCGCTCAAGACCCGATTTGGTTAGCCCATTATGACGGGCGTGGTACCAATCTAGCCAAAACAAACCGAAATATATCTAGGCCCAACTAAGTTTAAGCATGCCCGTAGAGCTTTAGACTCGACCAAGCCCATGCCGGCTTGCATAGGCTTAGGTCCAACGAAATCCAAGCCGGACGTGAAAATTCATGACCATTTTAGCTCAGGCTCGCTCGACAATTTATTGGGCTTGGACCATATAATCTTCAATTTGATCCATAAAGTTTAGGGAGGAAAGCTGAGCAGAAAGAGTGATGTTAGTTGAGGAAATTTTTAGAGGTGAGTGAATCATAAGATAAGAATGTTTGTTTAGTTTTTATAGTTTATATATAATTTTTTTGGTTATAAGGTATGTGGAGTTCTGGGGTATCAGAGAGAATGATATTTTGTTGATTTGTTTATTATTATTGCTATATGTATATATATATATATTATATATATTCTCTCCGTCCACCGTATATACGTTCATTTGAGATAAATATAAGTAATAAATATAATATTATATTGATTAATTGTTACATAAACTAGGTATATTCTGAAAAGTACAATAAGTTAATGAAGTAAGAGAAATTTTTTTAAAAATTGAGTATGTAAATGGTTGTGACATATTTATAAATAAGGATAATACTAAAGGATATAGAATAAGGAGTGTGGTAGAGTTTACTAGCTCCGAGGATAACCTCTGGGGTTGACTCATGGGTAGGTCAACACTAGTTGGAGCCATGATCAAATTTTCGACAACATTGATGACATCGGAAAGTTGATCGGTGGATGGCATATTATCATAGTATTGAAGAGATAATCGGTTTTCAATTATTAGTAATATAACTGTGAGAATGAAAGTAATAAAATTATAATCGAATAAATTCAATCATTACATCGAGTCGAGAAAAAACTTCTCTTCTCAAAATGATTATGACTTGATAGTGCCTTCGGTAAGCGGTGCAATATTCTCAAGGATAAAACAATATTTATCTCTAAATTGGGTGACATCTCAATATTTCAAAGCTCTGATAAATAAAATAAGAAGGAGGTAAAAGAAAGGATGGAGATTGCCGGAAAACTCAATGGAAGAATTTATAGAAGAAGAAAAAAGAAGAGAATGTGTTGTGACCCTTTTATAGCTAACTCCAACATAGGAGAATTCAATTCTTCAAGTTGAAACCTCCGGAAATCATTGCCCTGAGGCAGGGCCGTCTCGAACTTTTTTGGGGCCAGCAAAAATATATTATAGGCCCTATAAACATATTGTTAAAATATATTTTAAAAATAATATCTGATTGACATCGATTGGATAATGAATTTTAACGTGACAGTTTGTGCGTGGTAGATTTGAGAAAAAAAAAAATGAAAGACGAACTGTCCGGAGGTTTGAAAAGCGAGAATGACTGAGTGATGGCGAAAGAGAGAGAAGAGAAAAGGTGACACTAGTTTGGTCTGAGTGGGTGGGCGCAATGCGGAGGTAGAGAATTGTAGACCACGATTGAATTTGAAATGATGAGATGAGACTAGCTAGAAAGAATAGAGGAAAAATATATATAATTAGAAATTTAAAATTTAATTTTAAAATTTATTTGGATAATTATAAAGAGAAAAAATATAAACTACATGTTAAAATTTAATAATAATAAATGGGTAATATTTTAAAATTTGAGTCCTCTATTAATTAGGGGTCTGAGCAGTCGCTCACCTTATTTCGGCTAAGAGCCGCCCCTGCCCTGAGGTAAAATTGTCGGTCATCAACGTCAGCCATCAATGTCAAATCCTTGTAAATCAAGTGGTTGATGGCTAGCGCTAGCCATCAGTGTGACGTTAATTTGAATTTTCAAAATCCAAATACATGCATGCATGTTGGGCTGATTTTAAACTTTTTGTAGTTTCTTGGGCTATAATATTTTTGGGTTCGACTCGAGATTATTTCATGGATTTGGTTGGGCTTTGGAGCAAAATAAGTCATTGGCATATCCATGTCCTAGACATGCTATTATGCCACTTTATACAATTTAATTGTATATAAACACATCCAAATTTGTGTGAAGTTTCACTGCTCGATAGTCGATAATTAACTAACAATTTAGTTAATTATTCTTAGACCATCCCTATTTAACCCACTTTAACCATTCCTTTTTGGTTTTCATCGACACATAGTATTTTTACTCATCGATTAATTAGTTTTGGAAAAATTTTAAATTTAATTTACAAAAATGAATTATATCCATTATTTTTAGCAGATTAATTTACATGTTTTTTATGGGAAAAAAAAATATGGAAGAAGAAAAGGGTAGGCAATTGCTTTGTTATTCATTTTTTATTTCTTTGATAATAATGACACGTCTCTTTCTTATTCTTTCTTTTTTTCTTTTTGCTCAATGTCACGTCTCCTTATCTAAGGTGTGTTAAGTTGATTTTATAAACTATTTGACCAAGTAAAAAGATTAGCAATATGCACATATCCTTGTTTAACTATACAACTTTATTCATATTTGTATTTACTTATTATATTAATTTTTTTAATATTCCCCAAGATTTCAATACTTAAAAAACTTCTAAAAATGTAGTTAACTAACATTAATAACAACCTTATGAATAAATTTTGGAACACTAAAGCAATATATAAAATAAATATGTATTACCTCAGTTCGGTTCTAAAGCAACTTACATTTGCGGATCTCAATTTAGAAGTAGTTTACCCATAATCAGTGTTGATTACAGCACAAAAATAACCACAAACTCTTTCAATTCATTTACTCTGCAATGGCTAATTTTGGAATACCTTAATAGGTTCTGATTGTCACAAGCTCGTAGCGACAACAGCCACAAACTAAGGCAGAGCTAGTCGCATTCTCTTATTGGACCTCTGAAAAATCCGTCCTCTGGCAACTCCTCCAGTGAATTTTTGTGTCAAATACAAGTTCAAAATATGTAAATAAAATGCACTACAAAAAAATATAAATTTTGTAACAAGATTTTTTCGTTCTTAAATCAACTTTTTCCGTTACTAATGATATTAGAGACGGAATCAGGGATGGAATTACGTTAGCTACGTGAACTTTAAGAACGGAATTCCGTTACAAATATATTATTTTTTTGTAGTGATGGGACATGAGTGAGAGAACAAACAATCATTTCTTTCTCTAAATTATGTCTCAAATGTGCTTACTATATATGTGGTTGCAAATCGAAGGTTATTTAATTCCCTTTGCATGCACATAAATAGAATGAAGCGCATATTTATATTTGTGTCATCACTTTGACTAACTCCATTAATCCATTTTGTCTCTTGTATCGATTTGAAAGGATGAGACAAAAAGGTCTTTATTCTCATATTTTTAATAAAAAAATACAACTATTCTCATAAAATATTAAATAACTCTAAATCAAATAATAAAAAAAAAAAAAAAAAAAAAAGGAAGAGGCCTGTTTAAGATTCAAGGTTTCTTCTTTCTTTCTTTCTTCTTCTTTTTTTTTTTTTTTTTTTTTGGGTTTTAATTTTTAAGTTTTTATTTATCTAGAAGTTGAATATAATGTTTGATATATATATATTATCTAGAAAATTAGAAAGAAAAAAAAAAGTCAAAATACACAAACGTATTTAACAGAAAAAAAAATCAAACCTTAGATAAAAACCCTAATGCATGCTTCATTTCCTCCAAATTTCAGTTGTATCAAAGTCTTTCATCACAAAGTCAGCGCCCACCACAGCATTTTCGAACTTGTTTCCTTTATCACATTCTAAGAACATTCTACAAATATATATATATATATATAAAAGCATATATTGAAGCTCTAACAATCAGAATTATTCATTACAACATAGTAAAGATGAAAGCTCTTCTTCAATGCTGTCTCTGCAGATGTTGCAAGAAAAAGAAGCCAGCAAAGGCAGTAATCACCACCCCTCCAGTCCAGCCGGTGAATCGGGACGTCGAGAAAGGCGAAAAGCCTAAAAGTAATCCAACAGCCGTTGCCGAGAAGCCAAAAATTAGCGGTGGGGCGGCGGTGGCTGCCGCTCATGTGCCCAATAAACCAGTTATCAGTAGTAGCGGTGGCGGTGGCAGCAGAAGTAGTTACTCTAGCGGTGGTGGTGGATATGGTGGCTTGGGTGGATATGGAGGTGGAGGCGGGTTTTCCGGAGGCGGTGGATTTGGGGGTGGCTGTGGTGGCGGCGGCGGCGGCGGCGGTGGTGGAGATGGAGGTGGAGGAGGATGCTAAAGTTACCTAAAGAAGAGAATCATATTATGCAATGATAGTTTTTATATTTGATATGTTGATCTTTGTGAGTATTGTTTGATGAATTTGTTGTATGCATATGTACAATAAAATTTGATATTTCTTGTGTTTGTGATGATAATTTCGGTTTTTTGTTTTTCTGTAAAATTGTGTATAATTTATTTATAATAAACAATTTTATCTATTTACAATTTTATTATCTTTACTTTAATAAATAATACTATTTCTGTTTCAACTCAAAGTGCATTTTTTTATTATTTTTGTTTGCACCACTTCAAACATCTTTTTTCTATTGCAGTAAAAGTAATAGTACATTAATACCAAAATATCTTTAATTTTTATCTAAATTACAAACATATCATTACACATATAAATTACTTTATATATAAAGTGACAAAAATATCAAAAGTTGTTACACACTTTCACCTATCAATAAAATACTATTATTTCTTAATTTACTACGGATACGGCAAAAGACTTATTTGGAGTGGGATTGGAGGGAGTAATCAATTTATCACTACTTTTTCTACTTATAGATTAACTCTTTAATAAGTTTTTATAATATCTCACTTTACTTTTTACATACCCCATTTTATCTTAAAATACTACTGTTTTATTTTTTAGTTTTCGTGACCTCAACATAGTTTTTATGCCCTTATTTTAGAATAGACAAAAATAAAATAAAAAATAAAAATGGCACCATCAGACGGAGGGAGTAACATATTTTGTTAATTGAAATAGATTGAGTATAAAATTATGTAAGTTCTACAAATGATAGAGGTATAAATAAATAGAAAATAATACAAATTTAAAGAAGGTTTAAACTTCGGTTTGCTCACTTTATAATATTTTTTTTGTAATGTAGGAATCTTTTTAGCCATTATTTTTCGACAAACAGAAATATTTGAAGTTTAAATTCATAATCTCTCGATAACTGACAATTTGTCGAGAATATAAAGTTCAAGTGAAGTTTAAATTCATAATCTCTCGATAACTGACAATTTATCGAAAATCCTCTAAGTAGAAGTTTGATCCCCATAATACGTAAGTGTGTGCCCACTCCTTGGCATTTTTTTTATAATGTGAAAATCCACTGTCGCTAATTCTCGATAACTAATAAGTTGTCGAGAATATAAAGCTCAAGTGGTTAAATCCTCTCAGTGGAAGTTTGATCCCCATAAAATATGTAAGTGTGTGCCCCACCCCACACTCTATAATGTATTTTGCTTTTGACATTTTTTATTTTTTAATAACGTGAGAATCCGCAGTCGCTAACTCATGGGTCATGCAGCCAGCAATAAGTATATACCAGCACGACTCCATGCAATCGGTTGTAAGTTGAAAAAGGAAATACATGTGTTCGGCGAACGAAAATAATAAAATGTATACCTTAACAAAGGGTTCACGGGAGTACACATAAAACAGAAAAAATAAAAATTACAGCGTCGATACGATTACACGGACACATTAACAGTATCCGTCTTCACCAGCCGGCAGACGGGGCAAACGGCGACATAGCATTCGCAATCCGAGCAGAGGCTCAAGTGCCGGCAAGGCAAGATTAAGACAGACACATCTTTACCGTTGCACGCCCTGCATTTCGGCAGGGCTCGACCCGAGTAGTTCGATACTGCATCATCATCAACCTCGCTGTCCCCGCAACCTTCAGGAGCTGGACAGGTCCCCTGCGCCGCAATCTGCTCAAGATTGCTCCTTAGAACATTCACCACAGATTCACTCTGCTTCGCTCGGAAGCGCCACGACTGTGCTTCCATGGCGACCTGCTTTATCCTCTCCTCGAGCTCCTTGTTTTTCTTATTAATGCTCTCGATATTCTCCTCTTTCTCGCATAATTTTTTGTAGACGATTTCTTCCAGGCCTTTGAGCACAGACATCGTGTGTCGCTGGTTTATCTCCCGTATGCCCGTCAAGATTTTCTCTTCCTGCTATACAATTAGGTATTAAATACGACGAAAGATATAGGAGTGTCAAAATTAAACCCGACTCGAAAAACCGAACCCGTTCGACCTGAAAATTTCCAGGTTCGGGTTTTTGTATTTCGGGTTTGCAAAAAATCGGGTCGAACCGAATCCAAAACGAAAAAAATTCTTGTCGTGTTTCAAGTTGACCTGATAACCCGAAATATAAAAATCAGGTTTTGTATTTCGGGTTGACCTAAAATTTTTATTATTATTATTTTATATTTAAAATATATTATAAATTAAAATAATATAAAAAATTAAAATTTAATTTAATTTTTTTTTTTAAGTTTGCGGGTCTGTTTTGTACCGGGTTTGTTTTGGTTTCGGGTGACCTGAAACTATTTCAGGTCAACCTGAATCCGACCTGAAAGAATTCGTGTCGTGTTCGGGTCTAGGGTTTCAGGTCAAATTTCGGGTTCGGGTTCGGATTGACAGATTTTTTGCTATTCCCATGGCTCAACCCGACACGAACACGACCCAAAAATACGAATTGACACCCCTAGAAAAATATAGATTGATTCCTGAACAGGGTACAAGATTTTTTCTACCTGAGTTTTAGCGCAGTGGAGGAGTTCTTGCACCTGCCGATCAATCTCTGTTGGCGTAGCTCTACTAATGGAAAGCTCGGGGCCAAGATTGAGTTGCGGATTTAGAGAGACTGGTAAATTGTGGTCTGTGTTGCAAGAAAGTTTGAGTCCTGTTGATACGGGATTTGGATTTAGAACTTCTTTTAAATGGCCGCCTGTTTCGTCCCGAAAAAAGCCATTGCACGGCATTTGTCCGTTTCCATTGTAGTTTCCGGCGCCAGTATCAACAACACACTGTGTCGGCGCTGCAGAAGAGTTCGGCATCATATGAGAAACATTAAAATGGTACGATCAAAAGGGAAGGAAGATACAAAAATTACGACAAACAGGTCAAGTCGAGACCACTCATATGGCTAAGTAAGTACAGCATATGATCAGTAATGATCGATATTCAAAAGAAAATTGTTCAACCATTTTCTAGTTCTTCTACATCCGTAAATCCACAAACAATCAATACAGGACTTGCCGAATATAATCTATTATGAGCATCTTTACTTTCTACAACATTGTTAATATATTCGCGAATTGTAACAACATATGTTATAATCGAAGGTTTTTAAAAATCGATGAAAACTTCAAACATATCAATCAATCAATCAATATATAACTCATTTCTGGATTTCCTCGCCACAATGTCATGCTAGATAAGCCCAAAAATGAACAATCAAAGTCATAACTCGTCGAAAACTTTCTACCGAGAATCACTACACACAAAAAGGTCTTGAGCTTCATATAAAGCAGAATTTACGCACCTTGGAGTGAATATCCGAGTTGAGGCATAGAATTATTGTCGAAATGGAAACCGTTTGCCTCCGATAAACCGGGGAAATTCGAACTTCCATTAGTTCCTCCTCCTAGCATCTTCCTGAAAATCACAATCCCCAATCTATCATCTACATATATCCCAAATTGAGAAATTTCAATCTTCAATGCACCAAAAACTATAGATTATCAACACAGAGAGGTAAAGCAGAGCATAGAACACAATCGTCATCGAAAGTTACATCAAAATCTAACAGATACAGACACAAATAAAAAGCTTCAAAAGTCCTCCAAGCAATCCATGGATTCCTAAACTTGCACTGAAACTATGAGCAGAAACCACGATTATAACATTACCTATTAAACTAGTTTCTAGATTTCGCCTATAAGGAAAGAAATCACCATAAGCATCAAACCCCAACCAAAAACCAACTGACCCTAATTGAAAGGCCACTCACAAATCATATGAGCAATTGAATTGAAACCCTAATTAGCGAGATTGAAGAAAGTTACCAAAAATTGGCTCAGATTCAGATAACCAATAGCGACGATTACTCCGAATCGATTAATACCCACATTGAGGGGACGAGAAATTGGGAGAAGGAGCGACGACAACGAGGGAGAATTGGGTGAATAAAATGAAAGTGGGGAATTGTAGAGAGTTGGAAGTGTTGTTTTGGGGGAAAAAAATAAGGAAGGAATCCATTGGTGGGAAGGGGTGCGAGCTCGATGTCGTTGTTGAAGAAATCAATGGGGATCTTTACTCGTCTTCTCTTCTCCCCATATTTTGGGGTGACATTTTTGTGCGACTGTGGCGTCATGCTTGTTGATTGATTCACCCACCGCTTGTTGATGTTGTTGATGCAGTTGTTGTTGTTGTGTGAGAGACGGAGTGGGAGAGTTTGTTTTTGGTTCTCGATTCTCCCAACCCCAACTGGCTGGCGGAATTTGCGTTTTACTTTTTCTTGTGGTTTGTCCGCCATGGCTGATTTCTCTCGATTCTATCGAGAAAAGCAAAGCAAAGTAAAATGTTGTTCCTTATTACGGGCGTATTCAGTTGTTTGGGTGCTTTATTTAGGATGGTATCACATTGGGTTTGTTAATTCAATGGTTTTTTTTTTTTTTTTGTTGAAATGGTACAAAATTTATATGTAATTTCAAGAAATTATCCCAAATTTTTGAAATTTTTAAAATTGCGTTTCATAAACTATGCGTCTAATATCTCGACAATCTTTATTTAGCCGTATTTGACATAAATGTGTCCAAACTGCTGAATAAATTTTAAAATTTCAATTTCTAAACCCCTGAAATTACAAATATATTTATTTTTCTTATATTTAGTCTCAAAATTAGTAAATATACTACAATTTTAGACTAAATATAAGAAAAATAAGTATATTTATTATTTTAAGATTTAAAAATTGAGATTTTAAAATTTATTTGCAGCGCATTTAGGTCAAAATGCCATTAAATAAGGACCGCCGATGGTATTAGATGCATTTTATGAAATCACAAAGGAGTTTGATGCAATTTTAGAAGTATATGGATTTGACGTAATTTCGTGAAACAACAGGTGAATTTTGTATAATATAGCCTTTCTTTTATTTAAAAATTATTTTTTATTAATATTATTTTTTGATTAGGAATACGATTTTTAAGGCAATAATATTTAATTAGTTAATAATAGTATGTTAATATTATTTTACTCACTTTGTGCGGCTCTAAGGTCTCATTTACTTTTTGCATCATTATACTTAATATGATAAATATTTTTATATTTGTATATTTTTTGCACAAATGTTAATAGTATTGTAAGACAGTAATAAAAGTATTTTTATCATTTTTTCTTAATTTGTATTGCATTTTCATATAATAGTTAATATTAAAATATCAATACGCAAAAAAGTAAACGAGACCCTTACAACCGGACAAAGGTAATATTATTTTTTATGTAAATTATATTGTTACTAATTTTAAAATAAGAAATAATATATACGAGTAAAACAAATTTAAAATATATATTTAAATATTTTAAAAAATTATATCTTAATACAATATATACAATATTATAAAATTTTATATAATACAATAAATAAAATATATATATATTTATTTATGATTAATATAAACTAATTTGTTAAAAGAATGGGAATTTTTTTAATTAAAGATGAAAATATTTATTTATGGCGGAGAAATAAATAAAGAATTTTGAGTAGGCATAAATGAACTAACCGATATAAGCCTTACATTGGATTTGTCATAAATTATTAGTGTAATTATTTAAAATTTGAACTGTTGGATTGTCCTAAAACACTTTCACTATTCACCATTTTTTTTCGAAATTTTTTTTACTATTTATTATTTTTTTAAAAAAATATAAAATGAAGCTTTTATGTTTTATTTTACATTCAAAAAATATTATATTATCAATTAACTATTCAATTTTTAAATATTACTATTTAAAATCAAAACTCCCAATCAAACACACCGTTGGAAATTATTAATTATAAAGCATATTGTTTAAGATATTAAGATTAAAATTAATATTAAAAAAACTCAGCTCGGCCCAACCCTACCCGAGTCTGATTTTTTGAATTATGCCCGAGTCGGTTTTTCAATTTATGCCCATTGTGTAATTAAAAATAGGAATAATTCGAAACACTATAACGTAAATGTTGAGTCATATAGTACACCGTATCGAATCTTTTAGTATTTTTCTGATACTGTAAAATTCTGTATAACAAATATTTATATATAATGATTCTATCTGATTTTTTATCTTTGTCTCACACTCATATTCCGGAAATACGAAAAGAAAGAAATTCCACGATCGCTCTACAATCAAATTGACCCTTCAAATTCAAGAAATAGAAAAAAATCCCGGATAATTCAAATCGAAGCAATTGGATGTCCGACTCGGGCCTATCATAATGCATGACTACTTAACAAGAGGATTCACTGCAAATACTAGCTTGGCTCATTATTGCCGAGATAATGGCCTACCAGAAATTGCAATAGAAAAGAAATAAGGGAGGTTTAAAATTCTTGGAATGCCGTGGGCATTCTTGATTGGTGCGTACCCAAATTAAAAATAATTTTGTAATTTTAGAAAAATATTAAAAGTAATTATTTTTGTATCAATATACTGAATACCAAAAATATTAAAACGATATTTCCGTATATATTAAAAATGCCAAACTATATATCGCTACCATATAAAAGAATTGGTATACCAAAGTTTTGGTATTTATAGTATTTTTTTCGATATTATATGTGCGGTATTTCGACAATTCAATATTTTTCACCCTAACTAAAAATAAATTTTTGAAATAATTTTGAGTAAAAAATTAAGATGTGTTCACCCAATAAAAAAGTTTGGACATATGTCGCAACTGACATTATATGAAATAAAATATAACACGCATTCACACAATATATATCTCAAAACATTTCATGTTTTGGCAAGCTTCCGCTGCCGTCGAGTGTTGGGGGAATGTGAAATAGGGGAAGGGAAGGGCACAATAGGGTTTTAATTTGGGTTAGCGATGATTAATAATCCCTCTTTAATTCCGTCGCAAACCATCTAATTGTTAGCAAGAGAAAAACATTCGTCGCAAAATATCCATCGCTAAATCATACTCCCTCCATCCAGCTACAAAGTATACATATTTCTATTTTGAAATGTCCAATTACAAAGTAATAATTTCATTAAATACCTCATTTTTTTTTTCCACAAATACTATTATTTTACATCACATAATTACTTTTATATCAAAAAGTAAAGGCAAAAATATCGATACACTACTTTTACATACCCACTATAATTAAAATACTATTATTTTTTAAACTCCGCGACAAAAATAAAGGTATACTTATTGTTTGGACGGAGGGCTTTGTAAAGCCTCGCAAAATCCCTTGCAATTTGCGGAGGAATTTCGAATCCTTTGCAAACTTCCCTCACAAAAAGGAAATTTTTTTAGTGATTATATATATATATATATATTTATTTTACCAGCATAATGTAGCCCATATTTTTCAAGTTTATATTGTCATTTAGGGTCATGTATATATGTCTATATATATATATATATACATGGGTAAACTGTTTTTTTAGTCTCGTAACTGGACCTTCTTATCATTTTAGTTCCGTAAGTGGAGCATGTCGCAAACTAGTCCCATAAGTGAAGAATTTTCGCTGTTTTAGTCCTTCGGTGCCGGAGATGCCCGCGTGGCTCGTCGGAGGTGACGTGTCCGCCAGGTGTCGCTGACCTGGCGGACACGTGGATTTTTTTATTTTTTTTCATTTTTATAATTTTTTTAAAACTTATTTTTAATTTTATTTGTATTTTTTTTTATTTTTTTATTTGTTACAATTAAAAATAAATAAATCCACGTGTCCGCCAGGTGTCGCTGACCTGGCGGGACACGTCACCTCCGGCGAGCCACGCGGGCGTCTCGGGCGCCGGAGGACTAAAACAACAAATATTTTTCACTTATGGGACTAGTTTGCGACAGACTCCACTTACAGGACTAAAATGATAAAGGGGTCCAATTACGGGACTTAAAAAAACAGTTTACCCTAACACAAGCAATCAATAACATTAAAAAAACCCGAAGAGATTAAGATATATTATTACATCAAATATATAATGATTATAGTAGCATTTTATCATTCCAAATATCACATGGAAACGAAATTGCTTGCAGAAAATTGAAATGCGTAGATCCATCTTTATTCTCAGGCCCAATCGTATTTCTTCACCTGATACGTTCCAACTCCATTATATGTATGTTGTAAATAAAACCTGTCTGGTTTTACAAACCATTTGCAATCGCCATTCGATTCACATTCGTCTCCCCACCATCGGGAATTAAAAACCTCAAAAGCTCGTCGCTTCGACCCCCAACTGAAATTGCACGAGTATAATGTGTTCCTAAGAAAGTTACCGCAAAATGAGCAGTGCCAGCTGTCTGAATGATCGCCGAGGTCATCATCGCCCGACTTACAATGATACTTTAGGTTTTGATGATCCGGAAGATTGTTATTTATCCAAACAATATGTTTATTTGTGACGATACAAGTACGCGAGTCTATTAATTTTGAAAACCCTAAAGAAAATAATACCATAATTACTAACAAGTTTCTGGCTATTATATCGATCATAATGTATGTTACGAGATAGTGGTTTTCATTACCAATATATTACATGGAGTTAGAAGATATTTATAATTGGGGGAAAAATCCTGTAAGGATTAGTCATTTGATTAATTCAAATGTTATTAACAAAATTTGTAATGATATTTTACTAATTATTTATAGATATATGTAATATTGATATATAGGTATGGTAACATTTGTTGAGATTACATTTTTATTTTATTAGTGAATGGAATTTCAAATTCAAACAATTGATTCAACAGTATAATCTAGATACGGTGCTGAAATATGGTTTCCCATGTTGCAAAAATCGTAATCATTTGTCACTATTTTCTTATTTTCGTTCGTCCCATATAATTTGTCTTTTTCTAATTATACATTTTAATCACATTTTATATTTTATATATTTCTAAATTACTTATTAATTATACTTTACATTTAAATTCTCATATTTACCTAATAGGCCATATTACATGGAATATTATTTTAATTGATTTGTTGCTTATCCAGAGATCAAGGAAGGCAATCTTATTGTTCTGGTTTTTCAAAAATAAATAAATAAAAAAAAAATGTCCTTATCTGGTCCGCCATTAAAACTTGTCTGTATGTAAAAGCTTGAGACTAGTATCATAAAACACCATTACTAAAAAGCAAAGAAGAACACAATGCAAGCTGTAAAGGCAATCCAATAGTTTTAGTAAACTCAAAAACACATTTAATTTGTTCATCTACCAAACATTTTCTATACATCAGTCTTGTTGAAATTAATTTCTGTGGCGAAAGAAACACATTTGGGAAGAAATCAAAATCATGGCAGCTTATGCGTCTCTTGTGTCTCTTATGACTCTTATAGATCAGATCCAAAGTCATC